AGGGTTTTTATGTTCCTGGTCAGGCTATACCATAAATTATACATATATAATGTTTTTATAACTTAGATACAATTTTAGACCAAATTGGCTAAAACTGAACGATTACATTTTTTTAATTAACACGCCTTCAGTCAGTATAATCGTATTTGTACGATTCGTTAAAAAATCATGTTTAAAAGCCAAACAATTTTCTTGCTTAATATCCGAACGGCATTCAAAGATTTCCGATTTTTTTTTTCGAAAATTCACCTCCTTACCATTAAATTTTCTGTAAATAATTAAAAATTTAAGATTTCATGGCTTTCCTTTAATTTAATTTATTAAGTTTGTTAAAGAGATTTCATCCTTATAACTACTTAACCCCTAAGCTTAACCTAAGGGTTAACCCTTAATTTGAATTTGTCCGGTAGGGCGGACACTAACTTTAGAAACCAAGTAGGGGGTGTTGTAAATGTTATTTTTATTTTATTCTACAATATTATTGTTTTATAACCTCTGAAAAAGTTTGTAGAAAGTGAACTTTGACGTTCGCAACACTGTATCTGTCAGTCGCGAACAAAATGTCAGCGAAGAGATAGTCATCTGTTTTTGATAAGGTAAATTATTATTTTTTTCATTGTTTTGCTGTTAAAAGCTCATTGTTTTTGCAATTCGTTTAACAATAATACGTGTATGATAATGTTTAGCTAAAATTCATAACATTTTATAGGTATCCTTCCGTTTGGCCAAATTACTTTTCGCCAAATTTCACTTCGCAAACAACTTATCGCCAAAGTTTCATTTCCCAAATGAACTTTTAGCAACTGTACTTTTCGGAACTAATTCATTTGGACAAATTATCATTTGGCCAAATTTTACTTGGCAAATGTTTATATAGCAAATGTTTTATTTTGCCAAATATTATATCCCAAATAATTTGTTTGGTCAAATCGACACTTCACATACTTACCCACAAATCAAACCATAAGGCAGAGGCAGATGATCATGGTTTTCTCAAGAATGTTATGTAAAACAAAGAGATTGCAGAAAATAGTATGGTTGCAGAAAGTAGGTATTGCAGAAAATAGTAGGTTAGGTTAGGTTAGAACAGTGACCCTTAACGCGCGAAGGCGAGCGAAGCGTGCCGCGGCAGCGGCCGCCGAGCGCTAGAATCACCTCTATTGTTAATGAATCATTTGGAAATTTCGATAAAAAGAATGAAATATGAAAAATTAATATAGAACAAATTTTAAATTAACTACCCACTAAACAAAATAATAACCACTTGTTAATTTGTACTCCATTCTATGCACCAATCAAATTATTTTGTAAATAGTGTATCGTGAAATATTTTTGCCAAATAAAACATTTGCCAAAACATACTTTGCCAAACAATAATTTGCTAAACAATAATATGCCAAAAACGGCATTTGCGAATTAAAAGTTTGCTATAAGTTGTTTTGCCAAATGAGAATTTGCCAAATGAAAATTTGCGAAACGTTGTTTGCGATGTGATAATTTGGGAAACGTTTTTTGGCCAAACATTAGTAATCCCATTTTATACATGTTTTGGCGTTTTTTTACTCGCTTGATCTCTTTGTCCGGCACAGCGGACATTGTCAATTACTCACTGATATTCATAAAACAACTTTGTCCGCTGTGGCGGACATAGTCAAATTTAGTTTGTTTTGCGGTTATGGGTGTTTTCTTATGTTTTTTTTGTTTTTCATTTGTCTGAGGCATGCGCGTGCTTCAAGAATATTGGCTTTAGTCCCTAGAACCCGCTTCCTCAGACGCAAGTGAGAAATCTGATACCGATTTTGAAATGCTTGATAAATGTGCTTCTACTGACTCAAACTATTCTTCACCTGCACCCTCTATCGAAATGATATATGATGTGATCTCTCGCTAATATAAATATTAGCTTTAGCTTCTCTTATAACGTTGCAGGTATTGTCAAAAAAAGACAGTGGTGTTCTACATAAAGTTTTAAACGCGCCGTTGCTCTGTGATGGGCAAAAATGCAAGAAACTGTTTTTAGATTTCCATACCAAATGATTGTTTTATGTGTTCGTTTTTAATATTACGCTTAACTACTTACTTAATTTTTCTTGCCAAAACGCCAATTTCCAAGGTGTTTTATTCTCAATACTATAAAAATTCTTAATAAAATTAGTTTATAACGAAGTTTTTTTATTTATCCCCTATTTGCCAATGTCCGCCACGGCGAACATTCAAATCTACTCGTTATTTATGACGTCTTTGGCAGTGTCCGCTGTGACGGACACGAATTTTCCCAACTCTGGGAAATGCAGGATTTTTTTTCATATTTTTTTATAAGTTCTTAGCATACCCTTGATGCCTTACATTCATCAAACTCATGTATTTCCATTTTTTATGTCGTTGCCAAATGAAGGGTTAACGATCGATGCAATAAAAATACAGGGTGTAATATTTAACAGATTTTAGTTGGTTCGATTCTCGGGGATTGGTAAGCAATTTTTTGGAAATCTTTGAATGCAGTTTTATTTCTTTTCAAAAATAAAGAAATTTTTTCTTTGAGTAAAATTTTCTGTCTACAATGTTAAGAGTACTTTCGCTCCAGGTGGCATTTCAAAATTCCACCCTGTATACCTACTTACCTAATTATTTTTGATAAACATAAATGTGTAGGCTTACTATTTTCCTAAGTAGGTAGTTATTTTATGCAAGGTTTAATTCTCATAAATATTTTGCATGAATAAACTTGCATAGACTTTGTGAACTTCAAAAAAACTTTTTCAAAAATAAATACAGGCGCGTTTAGATGTCACATTTTAATTTTAGAAACAAAAGAAAAAAACTTCATCCATGTAGCATACATGTCTTTTTGGGAGATTTCTTACTAGTGAAAGCGTTTTTTATATCCAAATTCTTTGTGATGTCGTAATATTCTGACAAAATCTTGTGCGTGCTATTAACGGTTTGTATTATAATAACGATTTACTCTCTTTCATGAGAGTTGAGTGGAAAACTTTTATCAGTCGAAGAGTAAACATTTTGACAGGAGGACGGCCGAAACCTTGGACATACTGTGAGTAGTGAGATGTCCAATGTATCCTAAACGGGTTAGGATAAAGTCGATAGAGCTCAATGGCTGAGCGCCTCAGCCCTCGAAGCTCCGAGGTGAACGCCTTGGAACAACGAGGCTATCTCATCGGCAAGAAAATCGGACAAGGATCGTACGCCACTGTCCACCTGGCGGAGTACTGCGATGCATCCAGCCCCAAGCGGATGCACCTCGCGTGCAAGATATTTGACAAAGAAAAAGCACCTCGGGATTTTTTAGAGAAGTTTTTCCCTCGTGAACTCGACATCCTAACTAAGATCGAGAACCCCCACATCATCCAAGTGCACAGCATCTTGCAGAGGGGACCGAGAGTGTTCATTTTCATGCGATATGCTGACAACGGAGACTTGCTGGATTTCATAAAACGCAATGGCGTCGTACCAGAAAATCAGGCGAAACTGTGGTTCAGACAGATGGCTAGTGGCTTGCAGTATCTGCACAGTAAAAATATAGCGCATCGCGACCTCAAGTGCGAGAACATACTGTTGTCGAGGCGGTTCAATGTAAAACTGGCTGATTTCGGGTTTGCAAGATTCTGCACTGATGGAGAGAACCGGCGCGTTCTCAGCCAGACCTACTGTGGCTCTGCCGCGTACGCCGCCCCAGAAGTCGTAAGCGGGACCCCTTACAACCCCAAGCTCGCTGATGTGTGGTCACTGGGAATAATTCTGTTTATCATGCTGAACGCGTCTATGCCATTCGACGACTCAAACTTGCGTAAGCTGCTGAAAGATCAAATGTCCCGTAATTGGGTGTTCCGTTCTAGAATTCGTGATACTGTATCTGCGGCGGCAAAGTCTATCGTGCGGCATATTCTGGAGCCGGATATAACGCTGCGCCTGACCCTCGACCGCGTGTTGTCGCACGAGTGGACGCGGCCCCGCAAGGACAAGAGCGCCAGCCTGATGGGGCGGCTGGTGCAGTCGGCGCCGTCGGCCCCGCACGCGCCTGGAAAGCGCGAGCACGATGAGGCGGGCACGTCGGCCGGCGCGCGCGTCTCCGGCGACCACCGCGAGACCGAGCGTGAGCGCCACGACGACATCAACATGCGCTCCCACGATTAACAAATCTGTATTAATAAGTTTAATGAGCAAAAAAGTGTTATAATCTCTAAATGTTTCGACCCTCAAAAATCGAAAATTCTTTTTATTATTTTGATTTTTTTTACAATTGTCGACTTAACTATTGTTAGTCGCCAATAGTGAAAATAAAGTTTTTATATAAAATCCAGAATTAAATGTTTTACTTAAATACTATAGATGGTTACATTAGGTAACACACGTTAGGTACACAAACAAATAATCATAATTATCTTCAATGGAATAGGTTTCTTCTCATTTCATCGCTTTGAGGTTGAGGACCATGACCATAAGCAATGACGTTGAACGGCATAACTATTACTGGAAAATATATACTGAACGATATTACATTTGTATCTTCATTAAAATTAACGTCGACTTTTGAAAGTGGGTGGAAATAGTTCACTTGCAAATATGAGATGTTTATGCCATTTTGTCCAGGCTCTGTGTAATCATGCTGTAAACAAGAATGGTGCATTTCTAATTTCCCCTCTGGTGTCTCCCCCTAGGATAGTCAACAGTTTTGGGTGATAGGTCATGGCGTACAGTATCCATCTTCCATCTGATGGTAGGTCAACGAAGTAAAGAAGAACGAGGTAGGTTTGACTTAAGCAAAGGGGCATCAGTCCCCCCAACCACCCCTACATTTGTGTAAATAAGCGAATAATTTATCAAACTTTACTTAACTTTGAGCGCGACATCATCGTCCTCAACATAAGCTCCTGGTTCAAATCATAAGTGTAGGCGAGCCGATGTGCCGGCACAATCTCCGTTGAATTCAAAAGCAGTTTTTCCCCTGAATGATGTGATCCTATAACCGAAACATGGATTATAGGAACCTGTAGTAGGTCTTCAACGCGTACCTTAAGTTTCAAGCAGGTCAACACACCATAATAAAACGTCTTGTATGTAATCGTAAAACTATGCATAAAACTATGCGTAAAACACAAAACGTTTCCTCTTAAAATGATGGATAAAATTGCCAAGCCGACCAAAAGTCGAAACATGTTTGAAAAGTTATTTGAAGGACCTATCAGAGCAGAGGATCTTATCAGAACCGTGAAAAATTTCTTAATCACTACTGCATATGAGATTGTAAAAGTTAGATGTGCACATCGATCGGCAATGGCTGGTAGATAGGTACGAGTTAGGTACATAAAGCGCTGCTAGTCGTATTTGTATCAAATAGCAATAAAAGTAATTCTAAGTATCTACCTACCTACCTGCTTGAAATTATTTCTAGGACCTACTTTTATGCTCTTGGATTCGCTAATCAGAAGCCCGCCGCATTATTGTTCTCTCGGTACGGACCTTAGCACGCAGATAACAATATAAAACTTATTCAATTGTCGACTAACGTGGTCTACTGAAGGATAATTTTAAGGCAAACTCATTGCCTGAATAAGTAAGTAGGTAGCTAGGTAGTCATAATGCATGTCCTGTCTGTAATGTGATTCGCATTGTTTTAGGTCCAACAGAAATAAAACAAACAGAAAGAGATTAATATTTAATGTATTAATAAAACACTATCTCAGTTCACAAGTAGGTTTATAATCGAAGCCTCCAAAAATGTCATGGTCTTTCAATTGGCATAGAATAGCCATGAACGCCAATCGGCATGCTGAGGAACGGGAATTTCTGATGAACCGTCAACACCATAGTGGCCGGGTCGAATGAGACGACCACTTTTGAAACCGGGTTTATGTATTCCATTTTTAGATATGTGAATCGCGTCTCTAGACTTGGATTAGTAGGCTAAAACAAACAACGTAAAACATTAAACATTACTTTGTAAAATGTAGTATTTAACTTTGTAAAACCAGTTCTGCAGACCTAATAAAAAAATGTAACTTCCTTTCCTTTATTTTCGTAAACAAAAACTTACCTGAGCCCCGATTACGGTAACTTTTAACGTCTACAATCCAGACGCGTTTCTGATTCTGCGATACGATTGGTCAAAACAGCTGACGTACGCTGTTGAACGACCAATCGTATCGCAGAATCGAGAAGCGTGTCTGGATTGTTGACGTTAAAAATTACCGTAATCGGGGCTCTAATTGATTACTTACTTACCCTAGTATCTAAACTAAAGACAGGTTGAAATGCTGGTATTGAGCCAGTGAAGACAAAGGAAAGCTGTTCTCCATCTATATGGGCGCCTGAAAGATAATGTCAGCAAGATACTGAGAATCACAGATGAAAGAGGCGTTGCTAAGAATTGAGCAAACGCATGAAGTTTGATCCATATTATTACGAGTATATTGTCGACTCATAATGCATTACATCTTTAGAGCCATCCATGGATGGAGTTGAAGTAAATCACTTAATTTATTTTTTATACATTTCTAATCATCATCTCACCATATTCAAATACAGATACCAGATCGGGCTTCCTTGTAGTCTCATCGCTGTAGGAGTAAATAATAAACGATGTGAACAAAATAAACCTAAGAATACACGTTATCATACTGCTTGGACTGCAATACAGGCACTGAAATAATGATCACCGCAACGAATGGATTACTTATAACATAAAATTACAAAGATAAGATAAAACCTACACGTCTACATTATTCGCAAAAGGCCACCATAGAGGGATTTTTATAGCAATCCAGGTTCAACTCCTGCGGTACATAATGAAAATGGCGTATTTCATGTTGTGCCAAGTACTTAGTTGGGCGTTCCTTCTATATCCTGACTTTCTGAGGATGTTTTTTAAATTTGATTTTGCACAAATTACTATAATAGCCTAGTCCCGTTAAAACCCCCATAAGCTAATATGCTTATAATGCTTGTGTCATCATCACTAGTGGGCGCACCTCAATAGTCGAGTAAGCGTCAGCGGGATTCGTACCCGCGTTCCTCGGATGACGAGGCAGCCAGTCCGACCCCTTCACCATTTGGCTATCATGGCTTCAATGTTCCTGAGCAATGCTTTAATGTTGTCACACCTACATTTATAGAAATCTATTTTGTCTGCTCGTTTGCCTCCTGTCACATAAAAAAAAAATGGTAGTACTAAGGTAAGTACGTCGTAATTTGATGCGCTAGGCTTTGGTTAAAAATGATACACCAAACTGATCATAATTATTTATTCAATTAACAGCATCAGTAACGATGGGTCTGTTGTCACCGGTTAATTCGACATGTGACATGTTATGTCCGCAGAGCTGGTAGGTGATGATGACAGCGTTCCCTTGGTACCGGCCTGATGGGTCTTGGCGGACCACGTGCATGTACTCATCGCCGAGAGTGAACTGGACCTGAGGTGGAGCGACCCAGTCGCAGACCGTTGTAACCGCCTTATTTACGGTTGGCGGGTTTAAGCAGAACATCTGCAAAAATAACAATTTTTAGCCTCTTCTTTGAAAAATAGCAAAGACGTATCAGCTCTTGTCGATCCACCATTAAACAAAAGATTGGGTCCAATTCCTTATTTTACTTTTACAAGCACTGCACAACACAGTGCACGTTACTTATAGTACCTAAGTACATAGTCGTCCCATCTTGTTGCTAAGTATATTAGCTATTGCAGAAGATGCAGCTATATTATAATAGAGATGCACCATGCAACTACCTACTTAAAAGCACACTGTTCCAATCGTCATTCATCAGTTACCACTGCCACTTTTAATCTTTTGGTCCTTTTTTTAAGTTACTTTTAATTTTGTATAGGCACCTATAGCACCTACCTACCTACTTTAAGTAATTTGCTATTATTTACATACCTGCTGATAAGCCTCGCGTTGCCCTGGTATTAGATAGGCGGCAGGATAACTTAACTTAAATCTTGACGTGTAGTCAGTATCTGCAAAAATAAGATTAAATTAACGTAGCTTTCTAGTTTTTTACCATTAGCAAAAAAAAAAGAATAGATTACAATGGTTAGCTTACCCAAATACTTACTATTTAAAAAAATGCAACAAATAAGTAATAACTTACTTCTATCCTATATTTTTGATATTATCGGTTCATTTAGCTGAGATATGAGATTAGAACGAGAAAGTTTGAGAAACTTTTGAGTTTTATTGTTTGCTTACTACTTACCTTTCGTGACCACTGTACAATGAGGTGGCGAGACATGTTTTTTAGATGCAATTATACTAGCAAATAACGTAAAAAAGAAAAGAACTGAATATCCAACCATAGTTACGCCGTTTTACCGTCTTCACGATAGGACTGCTATGAAATAATGATGCATACGATATTTATAGCTCTTTAATCAGTAGTTTCCTGCTAGTACAAATAATAATAACATTTGGTATGATATTCAAAGTAAACAAATTACTTATCGGAAAGGTACGGGCATGGGTACGGGTGCGGGCCGGCGACAGACGCTGCCTGTTTTGAAGTTGAGTGATAAGGAACACACACACCACATAAGTATGATATGATATACAAAGATAGTAAGTTTTTTGTATTTCTTAATAAATAGAAAATGAATTCCAGTTCTACCCTTTATTTATGAATATAGGATACTTTAGGCCCTTTTCAGGGCACTTATCAAACTGTACACTGGGAAAAACCAAAAAGTGAAATAAAACAAAATACAAGAGTGAGAATACCTCTAATTTAGGACAACCCAACTGTATTTCATAACTAACTTTACTAATAGAGGTACATAATATGAGAACGACATATTTAATACATACGTTATTAAACATAAATGCAATAATTAAAGATGAACTTTGAAAATCTGGTAGGTACCTACCTAACTTAGGACAAATAGTTACATACCTATGTACTTTAAATTTCGTTAGCAAAATGTTGCAGAATCTATGTATCTACGAGTAATTTTATACTTCTATGAAGTTCTTATTTTTACCTCGGTCTCGTTAAGTACTTATTAGTTTTAAAATTAAATACGTAGGTACAAGCGCTGCTACAAATGGTTTTTTAAACATTTTCGGGAGGCCCTGGTTTAAGACTGGTTTCTGATTCGTTGAGCGCCTTTAATTCTTCAACATCACGCCACAGTTCCCCGTGGTACAATGATGCTGTTTCCACTTCCATTTCTGCCGCGACCACTAAGTAAAAAAATATTGATTTCGTTATAAAATTAATACACGTGCGATCCTTCTTCGTATACGTAATGGGTAACTAAATAAGTAATAAAAGTAGGTATTGATCAGTATTGATGGATGTGGAAGAAATGAAAGTATACTTACTTCGTAAATTTCGCACCACCTCCACACTTTTTTTTAAGCGAGCCAAGTCAGTTTCAATTTCATCTTGCAAATTATTGTAAAAGTTAGGATCATTTACATCAAACTTATCTACTCTTTTGTTATCCATTATAAATTTTAAACAACGAAGTTTGTCGAAAGTATGTAAGAAATTTTATTTGAAAAGTTTTTTTTATTAATTGGCGCGTTTTGATTTAGTTTTTTTTAAGAATTATTGAGTGCAGGTTTGGACTGAAGGACATTGATCACAGGTTTAATTTCACATGAAAATATCATTGAAAATAATCATTAAAATAAATACCTACTAGGTAAATATTATTTATGTAAAGATAGGTATTACTCTATTTTCGTCTCCATAATATTCATTGGTCATTGGAAATCTCTGTCAACCTGTCAGTAGGGTTTAAAAAAAAAAACAAACAAAAACTACCGCGATCAGATGGCTAGCAGATTTACGAGTCCTAAAATGGCAACCAATAGAAGCACTGAGAATGACGTTTGGGCGAATCTATTGACCAATGACTTTAACTCCACGTGCCAGAAAGCGCCGCTTGCCATCAGTCATCAGTCGTCAGTGTGGCTTGCTTGTAGTTGTTGCACAGGCAGAATATTTTCTGAATTTAGTCACGCGCGTAGTACCTTTAGACATACTCTCTAATCTGTGCGTAGTACTCCATTTGTAATCGCGAATTTTTCTTTAAAACCTCTTGTAACTCACTCATGATTATTTATTAACGTCTTTGTGGCCACAGGTTTTTTATTTTACAGACCATGATGAGTGACGACGATCGCGATATAGACATTGAAAGTGATGTAGGTAGATTCATGGTCAATTGATTTGTGAGTGGTGTTTATTTCGTTCTTAATGTTTTAATTTATGTTTTCAGGCGGAAAATGATTCGGATTCTAGGACTCATGCAAGGAATAACCTCGGTGGAGGTGGCTATTACTCTCAGGTAAGCTTATTTTTTTATTAGGTAGGAGGTGGCGAAAATTACCATGTGCAATATTGCCACAAACATTGAATACGTAATTGTTTTTTGTGTACCTACAATCAATATTTTTGAAATAGTAGGTAGTGTAAAATAATTACTTTTGGTTTTTTAGGCAGACAAAAGGGCACACCACAATGCATTAGAAAGGAAAAGAAGAGATCACATCAAGGACAGTTTCACATCTCTGAGGGAATCCGTACCTGCCCTACAAAATGAAAAAGTGGTAAGTATTTATTCTAGTCAACAAATTAGTGTTTTTGGATATTTTTCTTTCCATTGGATCAAAATTTAAACTACCCACTTTCATATTTACTTTATCTAATTATTCCATACTTTGATTCTATTCGGTGGTGGCTCAAAAGCTAAGAATGACTGTTTTTGTTGTGTATGCCCATAAATAACCCAGTTTTAATAGTAAATTTTTGTACACAACATACTTAAATCATATTGATTTGAAAATGCGGGTATGTAGATACTAACAATAATATGATGACTTCACTGATTTCTGTATAAATTAGTCGGCTTTGTAAATGTTTTAAGCCTCAGATACTGTCTTCTAAATACTTTTGTAGATTCACTTATTGTCGGTTAAGTTCTATCACCACGTAAGTAATTTTTTGGTGGTTTTGTCATTTTGATGCCATTCACCAGCTAGAGAATCGAAAGACGCGTCGTTTCGTCCAATCTCCTGAAAAGTTACGAAAAATGACTTACTGACTGATAGAACTTAAACGACGTTAAGTTATTTAATTTAATGTGGCCAAGCCTATTTTCAATTCCGTGAAATTTTTGACACAGGCAAGTCGGGCGCAAATCTTAAAAAAGGCTGCAGAGTACATCCAGTTTATGAGGCGGAAAAATAACTCGCACCAGCAAGATATTGATGATTTAAAACGGCAGAACAACTTACTAGAGGCCCAAAGTGAGTAGATTCAAAAACATTGAATTTTTATGACTATTGAATACATTTCATGACATATTTATTTTGCATAGCTTTTACTGTTGTGTGTGTGTGATAGTCTTACTTTTATTAAAATCAAAAGTAGTAATATTAACAATGATTGTTATAATTTTTTAACTCTTAAATTTCATCATACCAAAATTTATTTAGAGGTAGAGAGTATAATTCTACCCTCAAACATTCATTTTATTTAGTAGTTAATATTTTATGGTTGTACTTCAGTTCTACTCCTAAACTTTTCTTGCTATTTTATATGAATTCATCAGAAATGATCGCTTTTCCCCAACCTGATTGTTAATCAAATCAGACGGCAAATATTTTTTTTACTCTTAACATTATTTTTTTAATATTTCAGTACGAGCATTAGAAAAAGCACGAGCAACAGGAAACTACATGGATGCCCATGAGTTGGGACTTGGCATCAAATCTGAGGGCAGTTCACATGACACAGACAGTTCTGACGGGGAGGGCACCACTCGTCGCGTAAAGAAGCTCAAGATCAATGGTGTCAATGTGTAATTTCAATCGATCAACCCTTCGATTTGGTTCTATCTTAGTGAGGTTATAATTTTTTGGACAATTTTCTCTTTTGCTCTTTGCCAAAAAACCCTATTTTCAACCACAAAAGTTTTGCCAGCATGTTTGTCGTCACAATTTGAAGTCAAGTTGTAACCAATTTTAAATTTGTATAATAACCCTTCATTTTGGATGACAAATATGTTTTATTTCATTCAATATTCTTTGTGTGTTCTGTAGATACTACCTGTTTTATGATTTGCCTCCTTGATGCAAATTGTCCTTAATTGTTCTTTATTTTTAAGTTAATGTAAGATGGTTTAATTGATATTAAATTTTCTTAGATTCTTTGTTATGCAAAAATTTTATGGGAGTAAAAATCTAATTATTTTCATTCTAAATATTTAAAAAACAAAATAAAATATATATTTTGTTTTCTTAGCATACCAATTTGGTGTGTTTTTAACTTTGTGCTAGAAAATTAATTATCAATTAAGCTAATACATAGTTATAAGTCTAGTCTTCTTGAACAACCTGGTTTGCTGTCTGGCTAAAATAATCGCTGCCTGCTGCTGTATTTCCTGAACACTATAATCCGGGCGTTTTCAAGGCGAGAGTGAATAGGCACTTGCAGGGCAGATATGTACCATCTTAGACTGCATCTCACTTAACACCAGGTGCGATTGCGGTCAAATACTTGCCTTGTCTAGCATAAAAATAAACTGCGTAACTATCGCTACTTTTACTCAAATGTACTGACATAACAAAATAGACATAACTTCAAAATTGAAAAATAAACTGGGAGACTTGTTCAATGTTTTTCTTGATTGCTATTACGATAAGTGTACATTATCTTTCCCAGCTGTTGGGTTATATTATATTATACAGGGTGTTTGGCGCATCGTGTGCCAAAATGATTTGGCGGATAGAATGGGTCATTTCCTATATTTTCAGCCCCCATAACACGTTCCATGTCAGGCGGCTACTTTTATATTAAGTTTTTTAGTAATTTCACCAAAATACCCAAATCGCATCATTTAATTTCGATTTAAAAAAAAACTACTAAGCGTAGCCTCAAAGTAAATATTTTGTTTTGACGTGCATTGATATAGGGTTGCATCAAATCTAAATTTACTGGCAAATATCATCTAGTTTTTTTTTAATTCAGCTTTGAACTTTTCCGAAAAGTTAAAAATGGACTGAACATTTAAGTTTACATGGCTATAAATTTTTTTTTAAAAGAGATAGCGATCTTCGGATTTTATCAAAACTTCTCTAGTCTATCCCCATTCAAACGGTATACTAATCTTGTTTAAATAATAACAACAACTTCACAAATTCCCTAAATTAGTGCATTGACTCTATTCGGACTGATTTGCGAAATTTGTGTTTATAGCCCCTTTTTGTGTGAATAACACGTTAAATACCTACAGGTAAAAATATTTATCTTATGCAATGTAAAAACTTTTTCCCTATCGTTTTTCAACGTGGATTTCTTGAAATTAAAGACGAAAATAATTATTTTGATCGTTTATTAATTATTACAAATTTTGTTCAAAATGTCCGCCTCGGCAACGTATACACTCACGACATCTTCGACTGTTGTCGTATGCAGCCTCATTTCTCTTTTTATTACTATAAAGGCGTTTTCTATTCGTTGTTGTAGTTCTTCTAATGTTTGAACTTCCGTTACGTACACCAGTTCATTACCTCGTCCCCAGACGTAAAAATCTAACGGAGTTAGGTCTGGGGAACGTGCAGGCCACTGTATAGGGCCAGTCTAAATTAGAAGAAGATGTCGTTACTTAGTGTATACGTTGCCGAGGCGGACATTTTGAACAAAATTTGTAATAATTAATAAACGATCAAAATAATTATTTTCGTCTTTAATTTCAAGAAATCTACATTGAAAAACGATAGAGAAAAGGTTTTTTACATTGCATAAGATAAATATTTTTTACCTGTAGGTATTTAACGTGTTATTCACACAAAAAGGGGCTATAAACACAAATTTCGCAAATCAGTCCGAATAGAGTCAATGCACTAATTTAGGGAATTTGTGAAGTTGTTGTTATTATTTAAACAAGATTAGTATACCGTTTGAATGGGGATAGACTAGAGAAGTTTTGATAAAATCCGAAGATCGCTATCTCTTTTAAAAAAAATTTTATAGCCATGTAAACTTAAATGTTCAGTCCATTTTTAACTTTTCGGAAAAGTTCAAAGCTGAATTTAAAAAAAACTAGATGATATTTGCCAGTAAATTTAGATTTGATGCAATCCTATATCAATGCACGTCAAAACAAAATATTTACTTTGAGGCTACGCTTAGTAGTTTTTTTTTAAATCGAAATTAAATGATGAGATTTGGGTATTTTGGTGAAATTACTAAAAAACTTAATATAAAAGTAGCCACCTGACATGGAACGTGTTATGGGGGCTGAAAATATAGGAAATGACCCATTCTATCCGCCAAATCATTTTGGCACACGATGCGCCAAACACCCTGTATAATGTTAATACTTGAAAACATTTCAAAACCTGTATACATTAGGGGATACATTATATCGAAATGCTATATTTTGAGCTAAATGTTGGTCAACAAGTATGTGGCACTTTCGAGAGATTGCTCCATGTTTAAAGTCACGATGTGCGGCATATCCAAAACTAAAAAGTAAAATTAAGGCCTATGCACACAATATTTATTCAGGTGTGAACATTGAAAGCAAGGTTTAACTTTAAAGGGCTGAGTTCGCCAATGTATACGACGCTTAATGATTACGAGTAAAAGTACCATGACATATTCCTTGAATGATGTATTTGACAAAAATTTCCTTGTATTGACAAATTGGCATGTTTCGATACGATCTTTTTTTTTTAATCATAAGTGCAATATTTTCACCGAATATTTTTGTATATTTTTTTATAATTTTCTACGACATTGTTAAATGGATATATTTTTGTGATAGTTGATTGAGTCGTGGATTATTTTCCGATCTGACTACCGTCTACCGCTAGGTAAATTTATTTTTATGTTCTAGAAGACTATAGATTTAATTGATGTAAAATATAAATACTCTGTTAAAGTGCTTTTTATTTACAAAACCCTGTGTTTCGATTTGACCTTGTCATAATTTCTGTTGTATTGATCTCTACTATGATTGTAAAATTTTGTATTTTTTTATCACATTGTTAAGAAATTGACAGTACATATTTGTAGAAATTGTATGGTTATTTTTAGTTCATGAAGTTTCTTTGGTTCTTTCGCCATGATGGCTATTGTATTTGTGGTCACCAGTTGACGCCTCTATCGAGTCTTTTCGCCTTTTATTTGTTTTTTGGTTGTGTTGGTGGTTGTATTTTTTTTATTGGTTGTTCAATTTCTTTTCGTCTGTTTCTTTTTGTTTGGGTTGGGCGCATTTTATTTCTTTTATATTGGTTGTTCAATTTCTACAATAAAAAATCAAATATTGCAATACACTGGCAAAAATTAACGCAAAATAAAATAATAAATACAGTTTTTACACGACATATGAAGCACCATGAAAAGTAATCGAAAAATCGATTATAATAAGATAATGGTATATTTTGTGTCATAGTTGGCTCTATCTTCGTTGTTGTCTCATTCATTATGATTGAAAATTGTTGTTATATCATTGGTCATATTGAGCTTCAATAGGTTAATTTCTTGCTTTTTAATTTGGTTGGCAAATTGAAAAATGATTTTGAGTCACAGTAGAAGCTGCAGTTGTAGTGGGAAGATTGAATTGTTTGGTTGTATATTTCAGTTTTCACAAAAAAAAATGTAAAAAAAAATTGTGTCAGGGCGATTCCAAAAGGAAAAATCTGAGTAATGTGTTGTCAACAAAATACTTATCATGCATGAAATAGCAGCAGAAGATAAAATATAAATAATTATTTATTGCCATTCATAGATATTGTTCAGTTGGTCACTAATGATCAAGATTGCTTGTTGTGGTTGTTGTTTTTCGTAGTCTAGTTTTCTTTGAAATGGGAATTGTAAAATATTTTGGCACTTCCGTTGTATTTTCGTTTCAATGTTTAACCGTTTCGTTTGTTGTTAACAACAACCAGTCGGTTATTCAACCATCAATGGTGATTTATCTAGTAACCACATTATTTTGAACTTATATGTCTTGTGTTAAGGTCCAAAATCAATTTTTATCTGATTTAGGGGATTGAAGCGGAATTTCGTGATTGGCATGTGAAATATAAATGAAAGACTTCTTCAGTCTTCACTTGTGAGGGTTAGGATGAAGAAAAAAGTGTCAGAAAAAAAATGTTTTGTGAAAACTGTTGTTCTGTAATTTTTGCCTTCCAATATTCGAAAATTATACACCGAGAAAGTATGTGTCTGGTTACCTCATCAACGACGTTATGATAAGTTGCAATTGAATTTCATTGAAAATCTGTTTAGATATGAGTTTTAATCAAAATAATTGAGAAAAAAAATCACGTAAACAAACTTATCCTAACTTAAGGGGTATTTACGGTCACTACCAATGAACTCTGCATAAAGCAGTGTAACAGTGTGTAAAACTTTAACGCACAACTTTTTAGAGGAAGTTTCATATTTTTCTCTATGGTCATAAAAGCCGTCTTCTGTCTACAGGGTGTTAGGTAAATGGGTATATGAGCCGACACTAGCCCATGTTAACATGGTCATATAAATGGTATGGTGAAGTCAGAAAATTTATATCTTAATTTTAATTATTTTAATTTTCATACAAATCGGATTTTATAAAAAATATTTTGTATGAAAATTAAAATGATAATATCAAATTTCTGACTTCACCATACCATTTATATGCCCATATTAACATGGGCTAGTGTCGGCTCATATACCCATTTACCTAACACCCTGTATTATTTCTGGTCCAATCTTTGTCTCTACATATTTGGCACGTTCACGTTTTGTGCCATATCTTTTCCTAATAGGTACGAGTACAAATAGTTTTTGCGTATCACGCATTATTTCCCGATTGTTGTCTGCAATCGATTAAGATTGTGTTCTCTCAAGAGTCTCAGAGGCAATACCAAATTATTTGTGAGACTTATTTGGAAAACGTCAAGGGAAGACGTAATCCGGGCCCACGTGGTGTCCTGTCTCCTCCATTACCTTCCGGACTCCCCTCAGATACCGTATAGATAGAGCTTTAGTTTTCCTTATCAACTATGGCACAAATCTCAATAAATAAATAAAAGCTTGAAAAAATAAAAACTCTGCAAGTAAATTTGGCTTAGTTTAAAAGTCCCCAACATATTTATAACTCAGTATCATCATATACATTTACAAAATTTAAAGCTACGTCAAAATTCTATAATATTTCTGGTGTTATTGATTCGGTCCCAACTCCCAATACAGGGTGATTTTGTTATCAGTATCCGAAATTTTAGAATGTATGTAGTGTTAGCAGATTGCTTGGATTTCCTACGAACTTTGCAGTTTACCCTTTCTTTCATTCGCACCAGCATTTTTGCGCCGTGCTTAAAGCAATGGTAACCATGAGCTTTTCGTCTGAAATCGAGGTGCATGTAGCGTAGCTTCTTTGTGGACAAACGTTTATTCCTAGAATGATTCCTAGTACTTTCATCTTTAATTTAAGGCGCTCTATTTTCGGCGTCTCACTTTTCTTGTGGTTTTTGGTTAATGTAGAGTTCAGCAAAAAGTCTTCTTAAAATAAATAATATCAATAAAGGTTTCATCTTCTCATGTTTTCTCAGATTATGGTTCTAATTGAGTTTAGTAATTGTGAGATTGTAGCAGAAATCATCTAATGTCCTTAAAACAGAAAGACGTGTGGTAACTGTACCGCCGTATTTCCCAACGTTTGTTAAAGGTGTCGATTTTGTGCTGATTTTACCGACTCATAAAAATCGGGAAGGTTTTGTTTTAAAGGGCTGGGGCATTGGCTGGGGCTAGCTCATTACACAAGAAAATTGGATAATAGAGATGAGTGTAGTAAAAAGTATATTTTTTGGTGTTCAGTGAACCAATTAATACAACGACTACTAAAGCGTTCTTTCTATGCTTGGAAATTGTTTAGAATAGTTTTTAGTTTCGCAGATGTAGAATAGTTTTTAGTTTCGCAGGTTGCGCCGGTTAGTTCATTATTTTAATTCTGGTTCAGTTCAGTATTACATCGAGTTTCGTATTTGCTACATTCCAATTTAGAACTCTACATAACTTATCGTTTCCTTCCCTTAATACGTCTCTGTCGATTGAACTGCGCTCGCGCCGATCGACAGGGCGGAGCTTCTATAAGTTAAATTTTATAAAAAAAAATAAAACCGACTCCAAAAAACCTACACTAAAAAGCAGAATAATAATTACTAATTACCTACTTATTTATTAGGACGAATTATTAATATTTATGTAGGTATACCATGATTGATACTTNACGTTTTCCTTTCAGTCTGTTTCATTGCTGAGTGACGATTTGAGCTGCTTTAGAAAATAAACGCTCAGACGGTACTGACGTTCCCACCATGGTCAAGTATTTGTAAGCAATTTTATTAAGTTTAGGAAGTTGAATCTTCAGATCGTTCCATATTTCCAATGGGTTCTCATTAAGTCTTCCTACTGGACTACGCAAGTAAATAGACAGCTCTTCAGAAATAGTATCATATAGTTCATAAGTGCCACTTGTGGTCTAAACTGAATAAATACTTTTGATTTTGATTTTGATTTTAGTATCGTCAGACTTCGCCGTTTTCCAGCTCTTGTGTACCAATTTGTGGTGATCATCCTATAAAGAAAAGTTATCTTCTGGTTTGTCAGAATGATCTGAAGAATCAGATTCCACCGCGGCCTCATTTTGTATTGTAGTTTTCACAAATTCTTTGACTTTTGCCGCAGCTGAAGAGCAAGCAAGTGGGTAAAATGCATTTTTTTAAACCTCGGATCTAATATCGTGGCTATGGCGAGAGGAGTCACTCTCTCTATAACACCCATTCTCTTGTCAATTTCTTTAAGAACCAATGACTATAATTCTTTGACAAGAGATTCTACGAGTCTGAGTGTTTTAACTTTCAAAAGAAGGCAATGGATAAGTGGTATTACCTTGCTACTAGTGCAATACTTATCCCCTGACACTTCCTTAGTTGCAGCTTCGATCGGTCGCAGAACTTGTAAAACCGAAGAAAGAATTGAGAGTTCTGACGCAGTAAGCATCGGTGGTGCATTTTTATGCCGAATGATTATGTTATTAACGATAGTGCGAAGGTCCAAAAATCTTTAAATCATATAATATGTACTATTCCATCTGGTTGAAACCTCTTGTATCAATTTAGTTTCTTTCTGGGTTGCATTACGTAATTCCGTTACTGGCTATATTGCTCTGTTTGAACCATGTCACAATATCTTTGACTTTAGTTATCAAGTTTCGCAGCTCAGTACACTGTTGCATAGAATTTTGTGCCACCAAATTCAGTGTGTGCAAAACATGGTATGTGTTTTTTTCCAAAAGCCAAATCGATGACCTTTACCATGTTGGCTGCGTTGTCAGTCACTACAGCCGAAACTGTATCTTTGTCAATACCCCATTCGGTACAAGTTTGAAGCAACATTTCAGCGATGTGTTCTGAAGTATGACGTTCATTTGACTGGTACACTCCAAGAGTTATTGAAAATAATTCATTACCAACACCGAAGTGTGCTGTTATTCCTAAAAAACTTCTCATGCTCATTGTTTCAGACCACACGTCAGTAGTAAGAGTAAAGTTTTCAATATTTGATATTTTTTCTTTGAAGACTGTTGATAATGCTGCGTATTTATTATCAACCCATCGAGTCAACGTCGTCTTATTGGGAAGTTTATAATGTGGCGCAACAACTTTAATCAAATTGCGAAATCCTTCATTTTCAACTATTGTAAATGGTTTATTTTTAAAGTTTTTTCACCACCCGCGGAAAAACCGTGAATTTCTTTAAAACTTGATATAATAGACTTTTGACGTTTAGGCGACTGTACATGCCAAAGCATTAGTAAAATGGCAGCCTTCTGGGCGATACTCGTGACTTCTTTTTTGAAATCCTTATTAGCTTAGGCTGGGTTGCACCACGTAACTTTAACCGTAACGATGACGATAATCGGTGTTTTTGTATGAAGTTTGCAAGGCTTTTGACGTTTGTCAAAGTTAATGAGACACAGTTCTCAGGTGTGTTTCAAAAAGTAGCGAAGTGCTAAAATCTGTCGGCACTACAAAAGAATAGTTTTCAAATGTGCTCTGAAGTAATAAAAGGCATCGTCGAAAACAACGTCATCATAAAATGTCAGGTCAAAGAAGTTCGCCTTTCTTATCTTTTTTGGGACAATCCTAACCAACACACCCGTTACAATTAAGTGCCAATATTGTTGATTTTTCACAATGATACTTTGCCATTCATTTGTTGTGAAGATCGATTTATCGTTTAACAGCCTTTTTAAAATATTTTTTGCAACGGTCAAACATTGATATTTATACTTACTGTTTTCTATACGGCTGCACTTTATTTTTTTGATTAAGTTTCTGAAAAGTATGATTAGTGTTCCGACATTGGTGTAGTCAGTACAGAAGGGTTTATTGAATTTAAAAATCGTGTGGGCAATGGACTCCGGCTTCGATATTTGATTGTGTTAATCGATTTTTATTGTTTTATTTGCTGGCCAGGTACTTTTTAAATAATCAAGGTTTTTATTTCGTTGACAGGATCATTCCTAGTTGACACTATTGTATTAAAAAACAACTAATGCTTTTCATGCAAATTCTTGATTTCATGATATTATTAATATACTCTATATAATTTTCAATCGAAGTCCATAAGGGCGACGATTTCTAAGATCTTTTAAGGTTCTGTTCACGGCCTCTATAAATCCTCTATGGCTCATGGTGTATTCGTCCCACATAATAAACATGTTGAGTGGAATATTTAATTAAGTGCAAAAATGATTGTCCAGAACATTAACATTGTTCAGAAAAATGTTTTTTTTTGCGGTAAAGATCCGTATACTACAGTGCTATGTATTTGTGGTGTATGTTTATTGTACAAAAATGAAATACAGAAATGCATTAAAAATTGTTTATTAAAATAAAATAAAAAATATTAAAATTACAGGAAAAAATATACACTATAAACTAACAACATATCCTATTGTAATTTACAAACAAGTACCTATCTAGAACTTAACACTAACATGCAAATTAACCTAACCCCCCGGGAAGCGGCATGTACCTGAAATTAAAACAAGCCTGAAATTAGTACGTTCAATATTCGTCGTTTCCTATTGAAATAAACTACTAAGATTTGAGAAAAGTTAAATTAGATGTGAAGTTCAGTATCATTTAAGGTGAAAAATGAACTCACCCGATATACTTCGGAGCAATTTCCCCCTCCCGCGCTTCCAATATCTGTTCCCATCTAAAACAAGAACAAAACATGTTATTTATGACTGATAAAAATTATGGAAGAAAATATGAAACTATATTTGTATGAAAACGAGTTCTTACCAGTTCTGGCTCACAACTGTCAACTGTTGAAGTATAGCGCCACCAACCGGTCCACCTCCGCCAGCCCCTCACCTGTGGACAAGCGGTGCGCGTTAGACAACCCGGTGATGAACTTGACTTGCTAGTAATCAAAGTGCTCATAGAAGATTGACTTACGCGTGACGTCGTCTAGAAGCTGGTTGGTGGCTGGTGGTGATGGAAAGACGCTGTCCATGTTCTGTGGGCAAAGAAAAGAGAGTTTAGAAAAATGGAAAGAACGCACCAATCTAGAAGTAATCTAAATTATAAAGTACATAGTAATGATACAGGAAAGGCTAGATTACTTACAATATCGTGTATGTCTGGCAACTCTGGCATCTCTGTATCCTGTAGCTCTGACAATGCTTGCATTTCTAGGCTCGTCCAGATGTCTAGGGCTGTCTGCTGTTCTTCTCCGCATAAAGGAACCGTTTCAAAGTCCTGTGGAAACAACACATAAGTTTAGAAATCAGAATATCAGTAAATCAGAATTACTATAATAGTATTGAAACTGCTTCGATGAATAAATTTCAAAACACTCACGTAATCGAGGATCTCCTGTATGGTGACCGCTGTAGCCGCCACTCCCGTGCACGCTGGCTGCTCCGCCACTAGAAGTAGAGCACAGACCACGATGAGAACATGTATCAATGTATCAAATATAAAATGTATAAAACTGGACAATTCTTTGAATTGGTCAAGGAATAAATTATAAAAAAGTTCATCCCCAATTTTCCACCCTTGGGGGTGAAATATTTTCTTCAAATTCGCATGAAACCACCCTTTTGATAATACCTATTCAACAAAATAGTAATCGTTCTAATTGGTTTATAATCGGCGGAGATATTGCGTATAAAAAAGTTCATCCCCAATTTTCCACCCTTGGGGGTTGTTTTTTTTATTATTAAATTTAAATGGGACCACCCTTGAGATATTACCTATACGCTGAAAAAAGATTTGTCCAAATCGGGTAATAATTGGCGGAGCTATCGCGTAACAAACATAGAAAAAAAAAAAAAAAAAACATACGGGTCGAATTGAGAACCTCCTCCTTTTTTTGAAGTCGGTTGAAAAGGGGCGTGACATCACCGACCAATAACATTGACGCATATTGGTGCTCAAGTATTGCCGTAGTAAATTAAATAGGCACTCTTACTCTACGGCCATAACAAATAAAAATTAAGAAATAAATTGTTTCAAATAACAAATTGATAGTTCACTCTAAAAATAATGGAAATCACTGCACTAAATACTGATGAGCATGGGAATCTAAGAAAGAGCTAAGAAATAATCGATCTAGAATCTCCCTAGGGCTGTATGGTGCTTTGCGTAATTCAAGTAGGTATTTCTTGACAGCCAGTTTTGCCCAGGCCTTGCTAATTGCTCAGTGTGAACAGGTGAATTGTCCTACAAAAACAGGACTCCTCTCGTCAGTTTGCCTCTTAGTTTTTCGACAGCCACTTGACGGACTTTTGTCAACAATGCAGAGTAATAATCATTATTCGTTATCATTATTAGATAGGAAGGCAATCAATTAATAAAATTCCTCCAAAATCCCAAAATTAACAGTGGCTATGAGATTGGATGCCGATCGCTCCACTTTAAATTTCCGTGGCAGCTTTTCTTCTTTTTCAGTCCACTTATTTGACTCTAGATCGTACCTACTGACGGAAATATGTTTTATCAACTTTGACAAAGTCGGAAGAAACATTGTCAGGATTATCGCCACAGCAGATGTCCAAAAACTCCATAAATGATGACTCGACGCTGCTTGTCCAACGGAATGAGCATTTTTCGTTCGCACCTATCGTGCGCACATCAGCTATTTCATGTGCAAATGAGTGTGTAAAATCGCCGATTAGTTCCTTGCTAATTAATGCCTATGGCATCAGCTATCTGCTACAACTTGATTCGCCGATATTCTAAAATAAGTTTCTTTACTTTTTCAATATTTTCTTCTTTAGATAACGGCGTTATTTGACCACCGTGACTCTCTGTCATGCTTTTGAACTCTCGGCTCCAACACTTTATGGTGGAATATGAAGGTCTAGACTCCCCATAAACTGTCAACATATATTCAAATATGTGTTTCCGTCGGTGATTTGTCTTTTCTGCGAAGAATTTTATGACAGCTCTATTTATTTATTTAATTTGAATGAATTATCTAGTTTAACATTATCTACTTATTTCATAATTTATTTAAATTGAAATGAATTTACCTACCCACAGTTTGCCTTCTCCGATCTACTTGTCAAGTCAGTAATTATTTGCTCATTTGAAAGTAAAAATGTTTGTTACGCCTGACCTATGCCTGTTGTTTGTGTCGTGGCTGTATGCCGGCGCACGCGCATGTCTGTGGCGCTGACGTCACCCGCCCCTTGCTGGGGGCGGGGCTAGCGTGTAGATAACATTGTGTGTTATGTGCCTACCTGATTATTTCTATTGCAGGCATTGATATAATTCGCAGAAACCAGATAATTGTTTTGGCGGTCATTTTGACTTACTACTACTGGGGAGCAACAAATGTTTTTCCCACTATGGATTGAATTATAATTTAAAAAATTGTATTTCCATTCTCAGATGATATACGAGCGTGAGTATGCTCGTATTTTGGTGAAGAGTTTTTAATTAACTATGATTTTGTTACAATTTCATGCCTCTAAAGTTTTGGAATAGGTAAGTTAATTTTGATGAAATTTTATTCATAGCATTAAAATAAAAAAGTGGAATAATGAACTTGCGATATCTACACTAATATTATAAATGCGAAAGTAACTGTCTGTCTCTCTTTTACGCCAAAACCACTGAACTATTTTGATGAAATTTGGCATAGAGATAGTTTGAGTCCCGGGAAAGGACATAGGATAGTTTTTATCCCGGTTTTTGAAACAGGGACGCGCGCGATATAGTTTTTCTGTTACAGACAAAATTCCACGCGGGCGAAGCCGCGGGCGGAAAGCTAGTACATAATAAAATGTTGCTTTACCTATATTAATCGATATTAAACCAAATATTGCCCTACGTACGTCTCTCATCTCTCATAGCAGTTAGGAACGAAACGTTGCCATTGCCACACTTCTCACATACCTACAGCAGTAGCTACGAATTCAAACGTTGCCATACTTCTGAAATATACTGAATCAAACGTTGTCATTCTTCACAGTTCGCAGCGATAACGAAACGTATCCATACCTCTCCGTATTCGTTTTACCTGGAAATTAGCTTCTATTTAGGAAATACGGCCATTGTGATAGTTTTTGTAAAATGAGTGAATTTAGTAAAGTTGATGATTGGATTCTAGATCCTAAATATTAGGATAAAAATTGGTTGGTTAAGTTGATTTTAAACTTCTAAGCTGGCAAAATGCATTGTGCATTGTGTTAAGTGGAATAACTAAATTGATTGTACAAAACATTAACATTGTACCGAAAAATATTTTTTTGCGGTAAAGACCCTTAATCAGTACTATGTATTTGTGGTGTATGTTGTTATGAGGTATGATTTTGGACAAAAATGAAATACAGTAATGCATTAAAAATATTTTATTACAATAAAATAATTATAAATAAAAATTCTTTACAGGGAAAAATATACAATTAAACTAACATCGAAATAACACAACTTAATGTAATTTACAAGTACCTAAGTATCTAGAACTTAACACTAACATGCAAATTAACCTAACCCCCGGGAAGCGGCATGTACCTGAAATTAAAACAAGAAAGATTAGTAAGTTCGTCGTTTTCTATTTCAATATTGAAATAGACTACTGATATTTGGGAAAAGTTAAATCAGATGTGAAGTTCAGTATCATTTAAGGTGAAAAATGAACTCACCCGATATACTTCGGAGTCAATTTCCCCTTCGGCGCTTCCAATATCTGTTCCCATCTAAAACAAGAACAAAACATGTTATTGACGACTGATAAAAATTATGGAAGAAAATATGAAACTATATTTTTGTATGAAAACGAGTTCTTACCAGTTCTGGCTCACAACTGTCAACTGTTGAAGTATAGCGCCACCAACCGGTCCACCTCCGCCAGCCCCTCACCTGTGGACAAGCGGCGCGCGTTAGACAACCCGGTGATGAACCTAACTTGCTAGAAATCGAACTGCTCATAAAAGATGATTGACTTACGTGTGACGTCGTCTAGGAGCTGGTTGGTGGCTGGTGGTGATGGAAAGACGCTGTCCATGTCCTGTGGGCAAAGAAAAGAGAGTTTAGAAAAATGGAAAGAACGCACCAATCTAGAAGTAATCTTAATTATAAAGTACATAGTAATGATCCAGGAAAGGCTAGATTACTTACAATATCGTGTATGTCTGGCAACACTGGCAATTCTGGCAACTCTGTATCCTGTAGCTCTGACAATGCTTGCATTTCTAGGCTCGTCCAGATGTCTAGGGCTATCTGCTGTTCTTCTCCGCATAAAGGAACCGGTTCAAAGTCCTGTGGAAACAAGGCATAAGTTTAGAAATCAGAATATCATAATAAATAAAAATTACTATAATAGTATTGAAACTGCTTCGATGAATACAAAACACTCACGTAATCGAGGATCTCCTGGATGGTGACCGCTGTAGCCGCCACTTCCGCGCACGCTTGCTGCTCCGCCACTAGAAGTAGAGCACAGACCACGATGAGAACATGTATCAATGTATCAAATATAAAATGTATAAAACTGGACAATTCTCTGAATTGGTCAAGGAATAAATGTTTGACTTACCAGGGTCACCGTTGTGGAGCATGTTGTTGTCTGGTGGTGGTAGAAGGCAGCTAGTGTCCATTTCCTGTCGGCAAAAATAATAATAAAGTTACTTATGTTATCAGCCAAAGGCGCACAAATTCTATAAGTAATGTGTAACATGACTGTAGCAAATAGTGCTCCAGGAAAGAATTACTTACAATATCCTGTGGTTCTGGCATCCCAAGTCCTGCCCAGTTGTCACTGAACGTCAGGCTTTGTTCCTCGGTAAAGGGAACTGATCCAAAGTCCTGTGTGTGGCCGTAGTCAAACGCAGCTACTTCTTGCAGCTCCGCCACTAGAAAAGAATAAAAAAGCATGATGAGAAATTAAAATCACTAATTGAAAAATGCAATAAGTGTGGAAAATAAGTCTTAAAGTCAAATCTTACATTTTGCCCGCAGCTCGCCGTTGTAAGCGCGCTGTTTTTCCGCCTCTTTCTCCACAGCTAGAACTTTGTCTTGCAAGTCTATGATGTAGTTAGCGGCGTCCTTGTAGCGCATTTGCTTGATCTCCTTCTGAAAAAGTAAGGGAAATTTTATTGACAAGTACTATTTTTATTAGAAAAGAAAAATGAATGGCCGTGTATAGTGGGCTTACTTACATTAGGGTCCACCATTTTGGCCAGCTCAGCCCAATTCTCGGCAATGTCGGCGCGCCTCTGTGCCTCGTAGAACTTGTTACGCTCCTTCTGCTGTTCCTGAACACAACATTAATTGATTAGTATACCAAATTAGCATTCTGCACATTATTTNATATCCTATTGTAATTTACAAACAAGTACCTATCTAGAACTTAACACTAACATGCAAATTAACCTAACCCCCCGGGAAGCGGCATGTACCTGAAATTAAAACAAGCCTGAAATTAGTACGTTCAATATTCGTCGTTTCCTATTGAAATAAACTACTAAGATTTGAGAAAAGTTAAATTAGATGTGAAGTTCAGTATCATTTAAGGTGAAAAATGAACTCACCCGATATACTTCGGAGCAATTTCCCCCTCCCGCGCTTCCAATATCTGTTCCCATCTAAAACAAGAACAAAACATGTTATTTATGACTGATAAAAATTATGGAAGAAAATATGAAACTATATTTGTATGAAAACGAGTTCTTACCAGTTCTGGCTCACAACTCTCAACTGTTGAAGTATAGCGCCACCAACCGGTCCACCTCCGCCAGCCCCTCACCTGTGGACAAGCGGCGCGCGTTAGACAACCCGGTGATGAACTTGACTTGCTAGTAATCAAAGTGCTCATAGAAGATGATTGACTTACGCGTGACGTCGTCTAAGAGCTGGTTGGTGGCTGGTGGTGATGGAAAGACGCTATCCATGTCCTGTGGGCAAAGAAAAGAGAGTTTAGAAAAATGAAAAGAACGCACCAATCTAGAAGTGATCTTAATTATAAAGTACATAGTAATGATCCAGGAAAGGCTAGATTACTTACAATATCGTGTATGTCTGGCAACTCTGGCATCTCTGTATCCTGTAGCTCTGACAATGCTTGCATTTCTAGGCTCGTCCAGATGTCTAGGGCTGTCTGCTGTTCTTCTCCGCATAAAGGAACCGTTTCAAAGTCCTGTGGAAACAACGCATAAATTTAGAAATCAGAATATCAGTAAATCAGAATTACTATAATAGTATTGAAACTGCTTCGATGAATACAAAACACTCACGTAATCGAGGATCTCCTGGATGGTGACCGCTGTAGCCGCCACTCCCGTGCACGCTGGCTGCTCCGCCACTAGAAGTAGAGCACAGACCATGATGAGAACATGTATCAATGTTTGATACATTGAAAATGTATAAAACTGGACAATTCTTTGAATTGGTCAAGGAATAAATGTTTGACTTACCAGGGTCACCGTTGTGGAGCATGTTGTTGTCTGGTGGTGGTAGAAGGCAGCTAGTGTCCATTTCCTGTCGGCAAAAATAATAATAAAGTTACTTATGTTATCAGCCAAAGGCGCACAAATTCTATAAGTAATGTGTAACATGACTGTAGCAAATAGTGCTCCAGGAAAGAATTACTGACAATATCCTGTGGTTCTGGCATCCCAAGTCCTGCCCAGTTGTCACTGAACGTCAGGCTTTGTTCCTCGGTAAAGGGAACTGATCCAAAGTCCTGTGTGTGGCCGTAGTCAAACGCAGCTACTTCTTGCAGCTCCGCCACTAGAAAAGAATAAAAAAGCATGATGAGAAATTAAAATCACTAATTGAAAAATGCAATAAGTGTGGAAAATAAGTCTTAAAGTCAAATCTTACATTTTGCCCGCAGCTCGCCGTTGTAAGCGCGCTGTTTTTCCGCCTCTTTCTCCACAGCTAGAACTTTGTCTTGCAAGTCTAGGATGTAGTTAGCGGCGTCCTTGTAGCGCATTTGCTTGATCTCCTTCTGAAAAAGTAAGGGAAATAAAAAAAAATGAATGGCCGTTTATAGTGGGCTTACTTACATTAGGGTCCACCATTTTGGCCAGCTCAGCCCAATTCTCGGCAATGTCGGCGCGCCTCTGTGCCTCGTAGAACTTGTTGCGCTCCTTCTGCTGTTCCTGAACACAACATTAATTGATTAGTATACCAAATTAGCATTCTGCACATTATTTAAAGAAGGTTGTACACACTTGCAATGATAACTTACTTTTGTGAGAGGAGTGCGTTTGTGCCCGCGAGGCCGGCCACGTTTCCTGAGAGGCAGGTCGTGCATCTGAACCGTATTCATTGCGGTTGAGTATTAAAAGTTCGTAAATCACGGATGGACAGTGGACACAGTGGTTCTGTTCGACACCAAAAGGGCAACTGATAAGGGCTTCAGCGGGAGCCGCCTTAAGTACGTGCGCCCGCGCACCCCCGCGCGCCCCCCGCCCCCGCCCTAACTTATTGGGCGGAGCGCAGGTATGGAACGAAACGTTGCCACACTTCTCACATAACAGCAAACGTTGTTCTTCTTCACAATGCGCAACGGAACGTTGCCACACTTCTCATATTTTATATCCGTACTCGATTGACCAGGAAATTAGCTTCTGTAGTACTAATAGGGCTATTCGGTAATAATCTTGAATTTAGTAAAGTTAATGATAGGATTCTAGTACCTAATTTATGAGACAATATTTCTGCTGGATGTTTAAGGGTAGTACTACCCAAAATTGATGAAATAAAACGCGGCCGTAGGTAACAGCGTATTTATTATACTTGAAAATTTCGACGGGTTCATCCAGTGTCAAAGTCGCTCAATGAATGTTTAGATTAATAAATTTTAATTTTGATTTCTGTATCATGTCTTCGAAGGTGGAATGAGTTTTGAATTAAATATTATCTATTGATTTTTTTAAATCTTCATCGTGTCGCTCCGTACAGACAATCATGTTTTTCATAGAATTAAAATAAAAAAGTGGAATGATCAACCTAAGATATGCAAAAATGTTGCTTGCTCTACCTATACTATTAAACCAAATATTGCCCTACGTACGTCTCTCATAGCCGTTTGGAACGAAACGTTGCCATACTCGTCACATAGCAGCAGTAGCTACGAATTCAAACGTTGCCATACTTCTGAAATATACTGAATCAAAAGTTGCCATTCTTCACAGTTCGCAAGGAAACGTTGCCATGCCATACTTCTCCGTATTTGATATACCTATCTGTAAATTAGCTTCAGTCGTAGAAATATGGTTATTGTGATAATCGTTGCAAAATGAGTGAGTTGAGTAAGGTACAATAAAAATTGGTTGGTTATGTTGATTTTAAACTTCTACGACGGCAATATTATGCTTGATGCATTGTGCTGGACTGACAGGTCTTGGCTAGACAGCTGTACTGAACATTAATATACAGGTTGTGAAATATGGGTATATGAAAATTATAGTTTTCTTTTCACTTTTATAAACAAAACAGAATAGTGATGATTTCGATTCCAAGGAATTGATTTCGCTTATGCATACAGTTAACAATACGAGTTTTCCCAACATAAAACGTAAGAGACAGGAATGGTTATTATACTGAGTGAAAGTGAGAAAATTGTGGCTGTAATGAAGTATTTTAATTTGTATAATACCTACATTAACTGATCATTAACGTAAAAAAATGTTAGTCACGCCTGACTTGTGGCTGTGTGACGGCGCGCGCGCATTCCTGCACCGCTGACGTCACCCGCCCGGCGCAGGGGGCGGGGCTAGCGTGTAGATAACATTGTGTGCGCGGAGCGGGGTGCTATGTATCGTTATCTCTATTGCAGGTATTGATAATATAATTTGCAGAAACTAGACAAGTAATCCTTTCAGCTGACATTTTTACTTAATTTTGAAGAATATCAGTCTTGCGTTTGTTTTGTTTAACTCTTTAATGCAAAGATGGACTCTTATCAAATTGGCTATAGCAATATAAAATATTTATTGTGTCTTGATCGTGATGATCTAGTTTTCATATCAGGCCATAGGATTCAAATAATTCATAGATTAAAATAATTACACAAGCTTAGTATGTCACATGTAAGTAGGTATTGATCAATATGATGCCAAGTAAAAACTTTTCGTAGCATCCGCGTCGCATCGTATCACATGCTACGAAAATTTTCTTAGCAGCCTGATTGAAATATTTGCTTCATAATTAATTATAAAGTAAATATCTTACGGTAATAATTACTTTAATTTCAATCATTGTTGTATGTAGGTATAATTATGCCAAAGCACTAGTAAAATATGCCTACTGGGCAACACTCGTGAGTCTTATTTTTACATTTTTGGAATTCTCCTTATAGCTTACTGTTTTGAAAGTAATACATACCTACATTTCTCAGATGTGTTTCTAGAAGTAGCGAACTGCTAAAATCTGTCGGCACTACAAAAGAATAGTTTTCAAATGTTCGCTTTGGAGTAATAAAAGGCGCTATAAAAGAAAACAACGTCATCGTAAAATGTCAGGTCAAAGAAGTTCGCCTTTCTTATCTTTTTTGAGACAATCCTAACCAACACACCCGTTACACTTAAGTGCCAATTATGGTTGTTTCTTCACAATGACACTTTGCCATTCATTTGTTGTGAAGATCGATTATCGTTTAACAGCCTTTTTAAAATATTTTTTGCAACGTTCAAACATTGATATTTATACTTACTGTTTTCTATACGTCTGCACTTAATTTTTTTGATTAAGTTTCTGAAAAGTATGATTAGTGTTCCGATTTTGGTGTAGTCAGTACAGAAGGGTTTATTGAATTTAAAAAATCCTGTGGGCAATGGACCCCAGCTTCGATATTTGATTGTGTTAATCGATTTTTCGATCGAGTGTGTGAATCGATCGATCAAGTTTTTTTATTTCGTTGACATGATCATTCCTAGGTGACACAATACTAATTGTAATAAGAAAGAAAAAACAACCAATTCTTTTTATGCAAATTCTCGATTTGAAGATATACTTTAACTTTAATATTTCTAAATTATGAACTATTTTGCCTAGGGGCTCAGCCAGATGGACGTCATCATTACTGCTTTTTGGAGTAGGAAAAAATCCTTCCCCAAATATTAGTAGTTGTGGTTAATCTCTCTGTGATGCAATAAAGATGAACTCTCGTTTCGTCCGTAATTTTAAATTTTCAATCGAAGTTTGTAAGGACGACGATTTCAAGCATGATTTGATGATATCAATACAATAGTCATCCCGCCCACGAGGGCAGAGGAGTTTTTAAGATCTTTTAAGGTTCTGTTCACGTCCTCTATAAGTCCTCTATGCCTNCTGCACGTATTGATAATATAATTTGCAGAAACTAGACAAGTAATCCTCTCAGCTGACATTTTTACTTAATTTTGAAGAATATCAGTCTTGCGTTTGTTTTGTTTAACTCTTTAATGCAAAGATGGACTCTACCAAATTGGCTATAGAAATATAAATATTTATTATGCCTTGATCTTGATGATCTACAAGTTTCCATATCAGGCAGGCCATAGGATTCAAATACAGTTTGTTAAATTACACAGGCTTAGTAAGTCACATGTAAACTGATCAATATTGCTGCTAAGTTATAACTCTTCGTAGCGTCGTAGCGCATGCTACGAATATTTTTGTAGCAGCGTATTTCTTTTTCTTACTTTATTGCACACACAAAAAAGCATTACAAATTGAAATATGCTTCGTTAATGATAAAGTAAATATCAAAGTAATGTTAAACATAGTTGGTTATGGGTAATTGGTTTTGAGAGGATTACCTCTCAAAACCAATTACCCATAACCAACTATGTTTTAAAAAATAAATACATTACATTAGTATTTATCGGTATAAGTACTTCAATTTTAATCATTGTTCTATGTATATGCCAAAGTATTAGTAAAATAGCAGCCTCCTGGGCATACTCGTGACTTCTTTTTTGAAATCCTTATCAGCTTAGGATGGGTTGCACCACGTAACTTTAACCGTAACTATGACGATAATCGGTGTTTTTGTATAAAGTTTGACAGGTTTTTGACGTTTGTCAAAGTTAATGTATGGATGGTGCAACCCAGCCTTACTGTTTTGAAAGTTAATGAGACACAGCTCTCAGGTGTGTTTCAAAAAGTAGCGAAGTGCTAAAATCTGTCGGCACTACAAAAGAATAGTTTTCAAATATTCGCTCTGAAGTAATAAAAGGCATCGTCGAAAACAACGTCATCATAAAATGTCAGGTCAAAGAAGTTCGCCTTTCTTATCTTTTTTGGGACAATCCTAACCAACACACCCGTTACACTTAAGTGCCAATATTGTTAATTTTCACAATGATACTTTGCCATTCATTTGTTGTGAAGATCGATTATCGTTTAACAGCCTTTTTAAAATATTTTTGCAACGGTCAAACATTGATATTTATACTTACTGTTTTCTATACGTCTGCACTTTATTTTTTTGATTAAGTTTCTGAAAAGTATGATTAGTGTTCCGATATTGGTGTAGTCAGTACAGAAGGGTTTATTGAATTTAAAAAATCCTGTGGGCAATGGACTCCGGCTTCGATATTTGATTGTGTTAATCGATTTTTATTGTTTTATTTGTTGGCCAGGTACTTTTTAAATAATCAAGGTTTTTGTTTCGTTGACAGGATCATTCCTAGTTGACACTATTGTATTAAAAACAACTAATGCTTTTTATGCAAATTCTTGATTTCATGATATACTCTATATAATTTTCAATCGAAGTCCATAAGGGCGACGATTTCAAGCATGATTTGATGATAATCTGCTCGCGAACCTATGTTATGATGGGAAGAGTCAATACCTGAAATTAAAACAAGCCTGAAATTAGTACGTTCAATATTCGTCGTTTCCTATTGAAAGAGACTTCTAAGATTTGAGAAAAGTTAGATTAGATGTGAAGTTTAGTATCATTTAGGGTGAAAAATGAACTCACCCGATATACTTCGGAGTAATTTCCCCCTCCCGCGCTTCCAATATCTGTTCCCATCTAAAACAAGAACAAAACATGTTATTTACGACTGATAAAAATTATGGAAGAAAATATGAAACTATATTTGTATGAAAACGAGTTCTTACCAGTTCTGGCTCACAACTGTCAACTGTTGAAGTATAGCGCCACCAACCGGTCCACCTCCGCCAGCCCCTCACCTGTGGACAAGCGGCGCGCGTTAGACAACCCGGTGATGAACTTGACTTGCTAGTAATCAAAGTGCTCATAGAAGATGATTGACTTACGCGTGACGTCCTCTAAGAGCTGGTTGGTGGCTGGTGGTGATGGAAAGACGCTATCCATGTCCTGTGGGCAAAGAAAAGAGAGTTTAGAAAAATGAAAAGAACGCACCAATCAGAAGTGATCTTAATTATAAAGTACATAGTAATGATCCAGGAAAGGCTAGATTACTTACAATATCGTGTATGTCTGGCAACTCTGGCATCTCTGTATCCTGTAGCTCTGACAATGCTTGCATTTCTAGGCTCGTCCAGATGTCTAGGGCTGTCTGCTGTTCTTCTCCGCATAAAGGAACCGTTTCAAAGTCCTGTGGAAACAACACATAAGTTTAGAAATCAGAATATCAGTAAATCAGAATTACTATAATAGTATTGAAACTGCTTCGATGAATAAATTTCAAAACACTCACGTAATCGAGGATCTCCTGTATGGTGACCGCTGTAGCCGCCACTCCCGTGCACGCTGGCTGCTCCGCCACTAGAAGTAGAGCACAGACCACGATGAGAACATGTATCAATGTATCAAATATAAAATGTATAAAACTGGACAATTCTTTGAATTGGTCAAGGAATAAATNATTTTTTGCGGTGTTGACTCAAATACATACAATAGTATGTATTTGTGGTGTATGTTGTTAATGAGTTATGTTTATTGGGCAGAAATGAAATACAGTAATGTAATAAAGTTAATTTATTAAAATAAAATAAAAAATAGTAAAAATACTTTACAGGAAAAAAATATACACTTAAACTAACATCGAAATAACCAACAACTAATCCTATTGTAATTTACAAACAAGTACCTATCTAAAACTTAACACTAACATGCAAATTAAACTAACCCCCCGGGAAGCGGCATGTACCTGAAATTAAAACAAGAAAGATTAATACGTTCCATATTCGTCGTTTTCTATTGTAATAGACTACTAAGATTTGAGAAAAGTTAAATTAGATGTGAAGTTCAGTATCATTCAAGGTGAAAAATGAACTCACCCGATATACTTCGGAGTCAATTTCCCCTTCGGCGCTTCCAATATCTGTTCCCATCTAAAACAAGAACAAAACATGTTATTGACGACTGATAAAAATTATGGAAGAAAATATGAAACTATATTTTTGTATGAAAACGAGTTCTTACCAGTTCTGGCTCACAACTGTCAACTGTTGAAGTATAGCGCCACCAACCGGTCCACCTCCGCCAGCCCCTCACCTGTGGACAAGCGGCGCGCGTTAGACAACCCGGTGATGAACTTGACTTGCTAGTAATCAAACTGCTCATAGAAGATGATTAACTTACGCGTGACGTCGTCTAGAAGCTGGTTGGTGGCTGGTGGTGATGGAAAGACGCTGTCCATGTTCTGTGGGCAAAGAAAAGAGAGTTTAGAAAAATGGAAAAAAAGCACCAATCTAGAAGTAATCTAAATGATAAAGTACATAGTAATGATCCAGGAAAGGCTGGATTACTTACAATATTGTGTATGTCTGGCAACTCTGGCATCTCTGTGTCCTGTAGCTCTGACAATGCTTGCATCTCTATGCTCGTCCAGATGTCTTGGGCCGTCTGCTGTTCTTCCCCGCATAAAGGAACCGGTTCAAAGTCCTGTGGAAACAACGCATAAGCTTAGAAATCAGAATATCATAATAAATTAAAATTACTATAATAGTATTGAAACTGCTTCGATGAATAAGTTCCAAAACACTTACGTAATCGAGGATCTCCTGGATGGTGACCGCTGTAGCCGCCACTCCCGCGCACGCTGGCTGCTCCGCCACTAGAAGTAGAGCACATACCACGATGAGAACATGTATCAATGTATCAAATAAAATGTATAAAACTGGACAATTCTCTGAATTGGTCAAGGAATAAATGTTTGACTTACCAGGGTCACCGTTGTGGAGCATGTTGTTGTCTGGTGGTGGTAGAAGGCAGCTAGTGTCCATTTCCTGTCGGCAAAAATAATAATAAAGTTACTTATCTTATCAGCCAGAGGCGCACAAATTCTATAAGCAATGTGTAACATGACTGTAGCAAATAGTGCTCCAGGAAAGAATTACTTACAATATCCTGTGGTTCTGGCATCCCAAGTCCTGCCCAGTTGTCACTGAACGTCAGGCTTTGTTCCTCGGTAAAGGGAACTGATCCAAAGTCCTGTGTGTGGCCGGAGTCAAACGCAGCTACTTCTTGCAGCTCCGCCACTAGAAAAGAATAAAAGAGCATGATGAGAAATTAAAATCAAATTCAAATTGTGTTTATTGTGAAATCACAGGAAATCACTAATTGAAAAATGCAATAAGTGTGGAAAATAAGTCTTAAAGTCAAGTTTTACATTTTGTCCGCAGCTCGCCGTTGTAAGCGCGCTGTTTTTCCGCCTCTTTCTCCACAGCTAGAACTTTGTCTTGCAAGTCTAGGATGTAGTTAGCGGCGTCCTTGTAGCGCATTTGCTTGATCTCCTTCTGAAAAAGTAAGGGAAATGTTATTGACTAGTACTATTTTTATTAGAAAAAAAAAATGAATGGCCGTGTATAGTGGGCTTACTTACATTAGGGTCCACCATTTTGGCCAGCTCAGCCCAATTCTCGGCGATGTCGGCGCGCCTCTGTGCCTCGTAGAACTTGTTGCGCTCCTTCTGCTGTTCCTGAACACAACATTAATTGATTAGTATACCAAATTAGCATTCTGCACATTATTTAATGAAGGTTGTACGTACACACTTGCAATGATAACTTACTTTTGTGAGAGGAGTGCGTTTGTGCCCGCGAGGCCGGCCACGTTTCCTGAGAGGCAGGTCGTGCATCTGAACCGTATTCATTGCGGTTGAGTATTAAAAGTTCGTAAATCACGGATGGACAGTGGAAACAGTGGTTCTGTTCGACACCAAAAGGGCAACTGATGAAGGCTTCAGCGGGAGCCGTCTTAAGTACCTGCGCACGCGCACCCCCGCGCGCCCCCCGCCCCCGCCCTAACTTATTGGGCGGAGCGCAGGAATGGAACGAAACGTTGCCACACTTCTCACATAACAGCAGTACGAATTCAAACGTTGCTCTTCTTCACAATGTGCAACGGAACGTTGCCACACTTCTCATATTATATATCCGTACTCGATTGACCAAGAAATTAGCTTCTGTAGTAGTAATAGGGCTATTCGGTAATAATCTTGAATTTAGTAAAGTTGATGATAGGATTCTTGGGGGAGGCCTTTGTCCAGCAGTGGACGTCATTTGGCTGAAAACGAAAACGAAACGAACGATGATAGGATTCTAGTACCTAATTTATGTGACAATATTTCTGCTGGGTATTTAAGGGTGAGGGTAAGGGCGGCCGTAGGTAACAGCGTATTTATTATACTTGAAAATTTCGACGGGTTAATCCAGTGTCAAAGTCGCTCAATGAATGTGTAGATTAATGAATTTTGATTTTGATTTCTGTATCATGTCTTCGAAGGTGGAATGAGTTTTGAATGAAATATTTTTTATTGATTTTTTTTAATCTTCATCGTTTCGCTCCGTACAGACACATAATTTTCATAGAATTAAAATAAAAAAGTGGAGTAATCAACTTAAGAGCGTTTACGCGAAGCGCGGCGTTTCAAGGGGCATCATTGGAAATGATTCGCGCGCGGCGTTTTTTAATAGTTTTCAAATGTTTATAGCAAAACAATAACAATGAATTATATATCGTTTCAAAGTAAATATTTTAAAGAAAATGTTATTTTATTATATTAAGCTATTGTGATTACTTATTGTAAAATGCTTAAATCTAAGAATTTTCTCAACTAACTATTTGCCTAAGGACCTATGCTATAGGATGTAAATGTTTGTTATATCGTTTTCACAGTATTTTTTTTATAAAAATTTTAGCTTGTAAACTGATGCTAAAGTGGAAATTTGAAAACCTGTATGGACTTATCTTGATAGAATTCTTAAATATTATACTAATCGAAATATTTCCTCAACTAACTATATAGACGACGAAATTGCCTAATTATTTATGCCTATAAAATATTTGTAATGTAACTGGTTAATGATTGTAACGGGTTGAAAAAGTACTGTTTTTGCGCCAAACGGCGTAAACGCTCTTAAGGTGTAAAAAAATGTTGCTTTCTTTACCTATAGATTCCTACGTCTCTCATAGCCGTTTGGAACGAAACGTTGCCACTCTTCTCACATAGCAGCAGTAGCTACCAATTCAAATTCAAAGTTGTCATTTTTCTGAAATATTCTGAATCAAACGTTGCAATTCTTCACAGTGCGCAACGAAGTTCTTCGCAGTGTGCATACAGTAAACATTGCGAGTTTTCCCCAACATAAAACGTAAGTACTGAGTGAAAGTGAGAAAATTTGTAGCTGTAATGAAATATTTTAATTTGAATAATACCCACATTAATAATTGATCATTTGAACGTAAAAAATGTTTGTCACGCCTGACTTGTGGCTGTATGTCGGCGCGCGCGCATACCTGCGCCGCTGACGTCACCCGCCCGGCGCAGGGGGCGGGGCTAGCGTGTAGATAACATTGTGTGCGCGGAGCGGGGTGCTATGTATCGTTATCTCTATTGCAGGTATAAACAAGATAAAACTTTTTTGGACGACATTGTTCTTTAGAGCTTTGTTTTGTACTAAGATGGAGATGGGTGTATTATTTTACGTTTTGGTCATTTACTTGAGTTAGTCCTTAATTGTTATTTCTAAGTTTTCTTAATCTAAATTATCTTTATTTTTGTCATGATTTCTAGAGGTTTAGAATGATCATGACGGAAATATTAAGAGAATGAAAAAGTAAAGTATTTGGCCCCTGTAGAATTGACGTTTTCACAGGGTACGGTATTATTTTATGCTATGGTTGTTAGTATAATTCTGAGAGTTTTGTAGAGTGTTTCACTACCTACATGTGATTGATGCATAAACGTAAAACAAACACAACCATTTTACTTTTTACTTTAAAATTAACAAACGTCAAAAATCTGTCAAACTCCATACAAAACACACTGATGATTACCGTTAAAGTTAGGTGGTTCAACTCAGTCGTATAGTTTAACAGTAAGGTAACAAACAAAAGACGGGGAACACGTTGCCACTCTTCACGCAGCAGCAGCGAAGGCGACGTTGTCATACTTCACACATAGCAAGGCTCACACGGGTGGCAGCTTCAAGCTAGTTTTTATCTGGAATTGAGCTTTGTAATACGCATTGTTCTTGTTTTACAAAGAACTGATAAGTCGACTTTCGTAATAATCTTTGTAGGATGAATGGGTAGGCTAAGCTCGTTAAATAAAGATAATTATTTACAAACTAACAAAGAACCAAATATTCATTTTCATAGCAAGTAAAGCATGAGTTTTACTGAAGATGCTCACATGTTTTACAGTTTGTTTGTTTGATATCAATCGCTTTACGGAAATATTTTCAGCAGAATAATTATTAAAATAAGTTTCGAGTTTCCGATAATATTTCGGCACTGTTGCAAGCGCCACACAAGCGCCATGATCACGGAGTAACTGAGGAAACTGGCGGGTGAGATATTATCGTCAGACATATCGGTCTACCCTCTTTCGCAGTTTTTTATTATGATTGCCTGTTCACCAACTCACTATTTTCTCGCAACTGTTCTCTACACACAACACTTACAATAAATACCTATCTGATCTTGAAACTACACTTTGTTCAATTCTTCGGTATTTGCACATTCGAATCACTGGATTCCAGACATTTGACAATTTAAACGCATCTTCACGATTGAAATTTTTGTACTTTGTAATTTCAATCGCCTTCCTGACCAATCAGGTATGTAGTGGCGCTCTGTCGAAATAATCTGAGGGTTATGAAACTCAATCCAGTAATTTGAACCCGAATCGATCAAATTCTCCGCGATTGCTGATTTCTGTTTGTCATTCTTTTTGACCGCCTTTATGTAAAGGGAAACTGTTGAAGGGGGTGAAGACAGTATTTAGTGAAAAGTTATTGAGTATGTTTGAGATCTTGTCTGTCACTCCTTTTTATATGGCAAAATACTGGTTGCCTGTCTACCCTGTCCCTTCTCTGGTGACTAACTCAGTGTCTAGATGGAAGCTGCTCCTTATGTCGTATTTTAGCAGCAGCCGAATGTACATCACAATCCGTTTCTTTAGATTATAGCATGTCGTTCTTAACAACTTTCAAAAAATAGAATAGAAGCTTGCTTACTAATACTGAAAACTTCGCAGGTGTGTTTGAGCACTTGCACTAACAGTAGTGAAACTCCAAAATTTGTCGGTACTACAAAGAAATGTATTTCAGATGTTACTCTACACAGTAATAAAATGTGCGATAAGCATAAACAATGTAAACATAAAAGGTGCATGGGTCAGCGATATTGGCCTCCCTTTCTTACCCTTTTTGAGACAATGCACACCGACGCACCCGCTACACTTTAGTGCTAATATCTGCGGGCGTATTGTTTCTTCACAATGATACCTTACCATTGGGTATTTTTGCAAACATCGATTATCTTTTAACAACTTTTTAAGTTAATATTATAATTTATGATACACCCTTTATGTTAACCTTCATGTTTGCGAATAGAAAAAGTAGCTTTTATTACTCTACCAGTTGGACCAGTTGGTTACCTAAGTATATCAAACTCAATAGTTCAAAACTGATTCTAGTGTCGCTGGCTTAATATTTGATAAAGTTATAAATTATGATGAATACTTGACGTCTAAAATGTTTTTTAATGTAGGCTTAATTCTGTTGAACAGTTATTACATTATTTAATTAATTTATTGCTTAAAAGCAAGAAAACATGTTTATTCAGTATCACATAATTTACAACATAGAAACATTTTAAGTCTACATGCACAAGATACTTAAAAAGTGGGCCATTCAGCATGTGTCGTAGCATCTGAGGAATGCCACGACGTTGGTCTTTTATTTATTTTCCTTAAAAGCCAACTATTTACAAACATTTCTGTTTGGTTCCAATAAATAAGTTTGAAATCAATATAAAAGGTATATTTAGTTTATTATTCATATATAGTTTGTATAATTTTCTATCGTTTGTCATATTCAGAAAGGTTTGTGATGCCAACGGAACAAGTTGGAATTAATTAAATAAGACGGAGATGCTTGTTCTGAAAGTGAGAGTCGATTTGTTTGCAATTAGATTAGTACTTAATCATAATCATAATCATTTATTTATTGCTTCATAAGTGTACATAGGTGCACATTAAAGAAGAAGAAAGTAGGTAATTATGGTTAATGATAAACGGGTTAGGCTAATGACGTTTTGGAAAAGGTACTTAGCCTAAGAAGGTTCACCACGTGAATTCTAATGACAATATTTTTTAAACTAATTACGTAATTGCACTATTCAGTTAATGACTAGTGACACTGGCTTACAAGAGGCTTACAAACAAACAAAATAAACACCTGCCGGGCTAGGGTGCGCGCCGTGACAAAATCTTAACAATGATTTTCAGTGACAAATATAATATATGCGCTTACTCGTATTGCGTAAAATCGACGCGCATGCTAAGCCTTCTGGCATGTGAATACATGCTTACCAATGCGATAGCTATTCATGAACCTAACCATCAGAGAAACAAAAATATTCATATTAAAAGTACGTCAAATGTTAATACTGCTGAAGTTGCTACGAAGCTATGCTACGATTCTTCGTAGCGTCGTATAGTTGCTACAGAGTTATTTTCGTAGCAGCCGAGTGTTACAGTTCACAAGGCATACATTTGTTTCCTGTAATTGTGATTACTCAAAGTGACAACTCGGTCGAGCAAAACTAATATTTTCAACCTGCCGTTATCTTTCATTTAGTTAGATTTAGCATGTGCCCCTCTAAAGTTGACGTTGTCACGGCACGGTACGGCTACGGTAGATTCCTCCTGGCTTCCCTCTGGCACAACTTTGACGTCGATTTGAATTTATTTTTACCTAACATTTATTTATTTATCAGGAAGGTTTTCGTTAATAATAGTGACACTAATAAAGAAAATCATTTTTTTAATTAAAATCAAAGAATGAAAATTTAGATATTCCGTGCCGAAAATAGGTCGTTTTCCGTTTTCCTTTATACCAAGAGCGATGAGAGAGTTATCTCAAAGTTCAATCAGGAACTGGATATCGAGAGAAAACGTTATAATACGATCCCTTCAACACTTATGAATCATTCGCGTTTTATGAGAGGGTGTAAGTGTTGTTGACTTATATTCACGCTACGAATCAGCGATTGTGTAGCAGCTGTCGCGTTACTTTAGGTAGTATTCCAAATCTACTAATTTTATTAAAAAGATATGTTCTAAAAGTTTACTATGTGCAGTAATACATAAAATGTTTGTTACGGCTTTTTGGAGCCAAATAAAAATCAGAAATGTATTACAGACAAAAGTGTATTATAAAATAAATATTCAATGAAATATAACAAATCAACAAATTACACTAAAAAACATTAAAATGGCAACTAATTACTAAAACTTTACAAACAACTATTTAACACTAACATGCAAATTAACCTAAAATCTCCCGAGGCCGATGCTCCTCGAAATGAATTTGATTGAAACTATCCTCAACTGAAATAAGAACAACACATGTTAACTACGATCTAGAATTCTAGAAGAAAAAAACTTTAATTTTGCCATGAAAACAAGTCCTTACCAATTCCGGCTCACAGCTGTCAACTGTTGAAGTATAGTGCCACCAACCGGTCCACCTCCGCCAGCCCCTCACCTGTGGACAAGCGGCGCGCGTTAGACAACCCGGTGATGAACTTGACTTGCTGGTGATCGCACTGCTCAAGGAAGACGATTGACTTACTCGTGACGTCGGGAAGCTGGTGGGTCGCTGGTGGAGGCAAAAGGAAGCCTGAGGGATTCACGTCCTGTGGGCAAAGAAAACAAATGTTAGAAGAATATTATCAACAAATCCGTGTCAGTTTTATAAAAACTACATTATAAACTTAATGCTTCAGTGAAGTCCCAAATAGATACTTACAATATCCAGCGGATCTGGTATGTCCATGGCCGCTATGGTCTCCAAGAGCGCGTCCTCTTCCGGGTATACAGGAAGCAGGTCAAGGAGATTCTGTGGATATTATAAATAATAGGGTTAGAAAATACAATCACAATCTAGAAAAAAATAAAATGCTTGATGATGACTTTATTTCAATAAAACTTACTCCTGGGGGAGAGTCTACGCCGAAATCATGTTGCTCCGCGTGTACCACTACTGCGTCAATTATCTGAAAGGAGAAAGAAATCGCATTGTTAGAACACTTATCAAATTGATGACAGTAATTTACAGTGCATTTTGTAGAAAATAAACTTACAAGATTGTTTGGAGAAACTTTCTTACACTCCTCCATGGTCTCTGCTGATGGAAGAACACCGAGGATCTAAAGACAAAAATGCATTTGTCAGAACAATAAAATGTATAAAAAACAATAGTACTGCTATAATGAGATTGAAATCGAGAAACTTACAATCTCACTAGGTAGGACATCCATAGCGCCGGAGAAAGGTATCGGTTCCACGGGAACAACTTTAAAAGCGCTCAGACCAACATCCATGGCTTCACTCTCCTCTACATGAAGCAGTTGATCAACAAACTGAAAAAAAAAGATTATTAAAATAAAGTAACAATTTAATACTTGAAACAGAACAAATGTAACTTATTATTGAATGTCAAACTTACGCTTTGAGGTGGCCGCCCGCCCCAGCTTCCTGGGAGGCGACTCCTGCCTCCTGAGGGATGCCTGCAGCCTCCTCACTACAAACAAACACACCACACGTTTTATGATACTCAATCTCATCGTAATCTATCAATGTCATACCTAATTGTAAAACAAAAGTAAAGTAAACGGTGTTCATAAGACTTACACTTTTTGCGCAGCTTTGCGTTGTTAGCGCGCAGTTGCTCCGCTTCCTTCTCCGCATCTGAGGCGTCGTCCTCCAAGCCTGCTGTGTGGATCGCTACTTCCTTGTCGCTTTTTGGCTGTTGCTCCTTCTGAAAAATAAGGAAATTGTTAGTTAAGTATACAATAGGAATAAAATATGAATGCCCTTGTGTACTGTGTGCTTACTTCAGGGTTTATCAGTTGGACAAGCTCCGTCCACCTTTCCTTGATTTCTTTGCGCCCAAACCACTGGACGGATCGAGCTGAAATGTGGCATGCAGGTGTAGATGTAATGACGTAGGCATACGCTAAGAAACGATTTTACGAAACTCCACTTCTTAGGGGGTAAAACGTGATGCGCGGGCGGCCGCTAGTTAGTACATATTTCGTCAAATATTTTTGTGGCATTACAGGAGCAGTCGATTACATTTTGGGTGCGTGACGTATTAAACATTTTAAGCAACAATTTTTCTCTTGGGTCGTATACATTTTTAGTGGAATTTTTTGCATGTGATAATTCTTTGATAAATGAAATGAATTCTTCTTTTTTATTAACTTGAGCATATCAACGGAATCTTAAAAAAAAATTCTATCACTATAGGCTATGGCAAAAGTTTGTGACACCGCATCGAAAGCACATGTGTTTGTGATTATTTTTCTGCTTTCAGTGGTTTTACAATCTGAAACGTTGTCGTTTTGCAAAACATAAGTTGGTTTCGATTTTACACGTTTCGGTATGGATATCGCCAGGCCTCTCTCTCCATTTCTCAATTTTGTTTGGTATGTCTTGAAAAACAGACTTTGCCCCAAAATCATTATTTTCAGTATTTATACTCGTAGCTGTTAAATTAAGTTCCAGTTTGGATCGTTTATTACCTGTATATATCGACCGCGAAGGTTGTTGAGCTCGTTTGATTGACTCTATTTTATGTGAAACCTCACTGGAACTAAGTTTTACAGCTCCATTTAGAACATAGCTTTCTAGTGCTGCACCAAGAACTCGTCTATTCTATTATAATTTCATAAAATAGACTGCGAATAAGTAAGTAATAAGAAGAGAAGATACTAGAAGTAGCTTTGAACTTATTACTTTTTCTAGGTATCATTATGGCAAGGTATCATTGTTAAGAAACAATGCACCCGCATTGTTTCTTAACAATGATACCTTGCCTTCTAATGATCTTTTTTAAATAATTCTTAAAACTTAGCTACAGATTGAAGCTAATATTATAATTTATGGTTGTCTATTTTGTGTGTGCCCGCGTTTGCAAATAGAAAAAGTAATAAGTTCAAAGCTACTTCTAGTATCTTCTCTTCTTATTACTTACTTATTCGCAGTCTATTTTATGAAATTATAAATCAGGTTTTATTTGTAATTAAATGAACTAGTATCCAAATAAGTACTTCAAGAGACAACTATTAAGACTTCATGAGAAAAATGAAGTCACTCCATATTTTAGTAAAAATGAATGCACTGAATGTATAAAATTAAAGTTTCGTCATCTGGCGCAGCAGCTCCTTCTGCAGGCACCTCCGCCGAGACCGTTACTTCCAGGACATGTAGCAAACGTAGTGTTAGAAAATCTTGATCTTGACTCGAAGCGCGATGCTCTTAAAGCCAGACCAGCAGCGGCTATCACCTACAACTACATCAGCGGTGTCCTAACGTGTCGACATTGTTCGCGCACGTTTACCAACAAGATTGGCTACTGTAGCCATGTGAGGGCACATGATAGGGCAGCCCAGCGTAGCCCTCTTATTGCGGACTAAAGGAATTTTGTCGCAGTTACCGTAGCCGAAAGCGGCTTGGGAGTATATATATATATATATATAGTGTTAGAAAAAATATTAATACAGTTTCTCTGTAAGAATTTCAAAACTGTAGGAAGTTTGAGAGATTTCACGTCTTGAGAAAGAGATTCTTCCTCGATTGGTAAGACCACCTCCTTCACGTTCAACTCCGCTTTCAGGAGATTCACTAGAATCGATAAATCAATAAGTCAGAAGTACATAGTTTGGAACTATCAAATTATTGATAAGATGAATAAGTTACTTACACTTAGCCCGAAGACTGGCGTTATAGGAACGCAGTCGATCTATTACTCGTTCCCGTTTCTCCTGAAGTTGCTTGGAGTTGTCAATGAAGGTGACGGCCTCGTCGAAAACCTTTTTTGTTTTCGTCTGGAAAAAGAAAGAAGAAAATGGGACCTACATATATTTTGTGCTGAAATCAGCAACCAAATACTTACTTAATTTTTGGCACTTTATAGTTATTTTAGTAAAACTATGATACTATAATTAAAAAGAATAAAGGTTACCTCGTCTGGCAGCAGTTCCCTCTGCAGGCACCTTCGCCGAAACCGTTTCTTCCAAGACCTGTAGCAAACATAGTGTGTTAGAAAAATTTTAAATACAGTTTCTCTGTGAGAATTTCAGAATTGTAGGACGTCTGAGAAAACTCACGTTTTGAGAAAGAGATTCTTCCTCGATTGGCAAGACCAGCTCCTCCACGTTCAACTCCGCTTTCAGGAGATCACTAGAATCTATAATAAAATCAACAAGTCAGAATCACTTAATTTGGAACTATCAAACTATTGATAAAATGAATAAATCACTTACACTTATCCCGAAGAGTGGCGTTATAGGAACGCAGCAGATCTATTTCTGACCCCCGTTTCTCATGAAGCTGCTTAGAAATGTCAATGAAGGTGACAGCCTCGTCTAAAACCTTTTTGGTTTTCGTCTGGAAAAGGAACAAAAAGATAATTACTTCCAGTACCTGTAGCAAACATAGTGTGTTAGAAAAAATATTAAATACAGTTTATCTGTAAGAATTTCAGAATTGTAGGAAGTTTAAGAGAACACACGTCTTGAGAAAGAGATTCTTCCTCGATTGGTAAGACCAGCTCCTTCACGTCCAACTCCGCTTTCAGGAGATTCACTAAAATCGAAAATAAAATCAATAAGACAGAAGTTCATAGTTTTGAACTATCAAATTATTGATAAGATGAATAATTTACTTACACTTAGCTCGAAGAGTGGCGTTATAGGAACGCAGCCGATCTTTACTCGTTCCCGTTTCTCCTGAAGCTGCTTGGAGTTGTGAATGAAGGTGACGGCCTCGTCGAAAACCTTTTTGGTTTTCGTTTGGAAAAAGAATGAAAAAAAGGGATATACTCATGAGAAAAAAAAACCGGGTTTCCAGAAACTTGACGTTCAAAAGTTAGTTTTAGGCGACATAAGGTGTGTGATTTGATTAAAAATATTTATGCTGAATGTTTTGAAAACTCACGTTCATGCCCAAAGAGATGCCCGAATCACCACTCGGTCGCTCCGCAGGCTCCGAGGCCATCGCCTACACCTGGCGGATACACAGCACACGTCAGTTGTGAAAATACTTACACCTGTATCGAAGAGTTTCGTTATAGGTAAGCTCCATCGCGCTGTTCATGAACGCAACGGCCTCGTGGAAAACCTTTTTGGTTTTCATCAGGGAAATGAAAGAAGAAAATGGGACCTACTAATGATACATTATGATATCGCTATAAAATATTTTGTGCTGAAATCAGCCACCAAAGAGTTTACTTACTTTTGGCACGTTTGAGAGATTTCACGTCTTGAGAAATATATTCTTCCTCGATTGGTAAGACCACCTCCTTCACGTTCAACTCCGTTTTAAGGAGATTCACTAGAATCGGTAAAATAGAATCAATAAGTCAGAAGTACATAGTTTGGAACCACAAATTATTGATAAGATGAATAAGTTACTTACACTTAGCTCGAAGACTGGCGTTATAGGAATGCAGCCGATCTATTACTCATTCCCGTTTCTCCTGAAGCTGCTTGGAGTTGTTAATGAAGGTGACGCCCTCGTCGAAAACCTTTTTGGTTTTCGTCTGGAAAAAGAATGAAAAAAAGGGATATACTCATGAGAAAAAAACCGGGTTTCCAGAAAGGTGAAGTTTAAAAGTTATTTTTAGGTGACATAGGGTGTGTGAATGTATTGTTTGACTGAAAATATTTATGCTGAATGTTTTGAAAACTCACGTTAATACCCAAAGAGATGCTCGAATCACCACTCGGTCGCTCCGCGGGCTCCGGCGCCAGCGCTTCCACCTGGCGGACACACAGCGCACGTCAGTTGTGAAAATACTTACACCTGTATCGAAGAGTTTCGTTATAGGTAAGCAGCATAATATTTCGCTTCGAGAATTCCTTTCTTAGTGCACCTTTACGGTACCTAAGCTACGTCCCTTCCAAATTTCAAGTGCCTACGTTTAGCCGTTTAGGCTGTGCGTTGATATGTCAGTGAGTCAGTCAGTTTCTCCTTTTATATTTTTAGATTTTAGTAAAAGTATGATATTATAGTTTAAAAAATTAAAATTTAATTACGTCGTCTGGCGCAGGAGCTCCTTCTGCAGGCGCCTCCGCTGAGACCGTTACTTCTAGGACCTGTAGCAAACATAGTATGTTAGAAAAAATATTAAATACAGTTTCTCTGTAAGAATTTCAGAATTGTAGGACGTCTGAGAGAACTCACGTTTTGAGAAAGAGATTCTTCCTCGATTGGCAAGACCAGCTCCTTCACGTTCAACACCGCTTTCAGGAGATTCACTAGAATCTATAATAAAATCAATAAGTTAGAATTACTTAATTTGGAACTATCTGACTATTGATAAAATGAATAAGTTACTTATACTTAACCCGAAGGGTGGCGTTATAGGAACGCAGCAGATCTATTTCTGACTCCCGTTTCTCCTGAAGCTGCTTGGAGTTGTCAATGAAGGTGTCGGCCTCGTCGAAAACCTTTTTGGTTTTCGTCTGGAAAAGGAACGAAAAGATAATGGGACCTACTCACGATATTATCATATCATTATAAGATGTTTTGAGCTGAAATCAGGCACCAAAGACTTACACACTTTATTTTCTGGCACTTTATTAAGTATTTTAGTAAAGGTATGATGTTATAGTTCAAAAAATTAAAATTTAATTACGTCGTCTGGCGCAGCAGCTCCTTCTGCAGGCGCCTCCGCTGAGACCGTTACTTCCAGGACATGTAGCAAACATAGTATGTTAGAAAAAATATTAAATACAGTTTCTCTGTATGAATTTCAGAATTGTAGAAAGTTTGAGAGAATCACGTCATGAGAAAGAGATTCGTCCTCGATTGGTAATACCAGCTCCTTCACGTTCAACTCCGCTTTCAGGAACTTCACTAGAATCGATAATAGAATCAACAAGTCACAAGTACATAGCTTGTAACCCATCAATTACTATCAAATCGTTGATAAAATGAATAATTATTGACACTTAGCCCGATAACTGGCGTAACGGGAACGCAGCAGATCTATTACTCGTTCCCGTTTCTCCTGAAGCTGCTTGGAGTTGTCAATGAAGGTGACGGCCTCGTCGAAAACCTTTTTTGTTTTCGTCTGGAAAAAGAAAGAAGAAAATGGGACCTACTAATGATATATTACGATATCACTATAATATATTTTGTGCTGAAATCAGCAACCAAATACTTACTTAATTTTTGGCACTTTATAGTTATTTTAGTAAAACTGTGATACTATAATTAAAAAGAATAAAGGTTAGGTACGTCGTCTGGCAGCAGTTCCTTCTGCAGGCACCTTCGCCGAAACCGTTACTTCCAGGACCTGTAGCATAGTATAGCAGGATAGTGTGTTAGAAAAAATATTAAATTCAGTTTCTCTGTTAGAATTTCAGAATTGTAGGACGTCTGAGAGAACTCACGTTTTGAGAAAGAGATTCTTCCTCGATTGGCAAGACCAGCTCCTTATCGTTCAACTCCGCTTTCAGGAGATTCACTAGAATCTATAATGAAATCAATAAGTCTGAATTACTTAATTTGGAACTATCAAACTATTGAAAAAACGAATAAGTTACTTACACTTAGCCCGAAGAGTGGCGTTATAGGAACGCAGCAGATCTATTTCTAACTCCCGTTTCTCATGAAGCTGCTCGTCGAAAACCTTTTTGGTTTTCGTCTGGAAAAAGAATGAAAAAAAGGGATAATTAATATACTCATGAGAAAGAAAACCGGGTTTCCAGAAAGGTGACGTTTAAAAGTTATTTTATGGTGACATAGGGTGTGTGTATGTATTGTTTGATTGAAAATATTTATGCTGAATGTTTTGAAAACTCACGTTAATGCCCAAAGAGATGCTCGAATCACCACTCGGTCGCTCCGCAGGCTCCGGCGCCAGCGCCTCCACCTGTCAGACACACAGCACACGTCAGTTGTGAAAATACTTACCTACACCTGTATCGAAGAATTTCGTTATAGGTAAGCTCCTTAGCGCTGTTCATGAACGCAACGGTCTCGTGGAAAACCTTTTTGGTTCTCATCTGGGAAATGAAAGAAGAAAATGGGACCTACTAATGATATATTATGATATCACTATAAAATATTTTGTGCTGAAATCAGCCACCAAAGACTTTACTTACTTTTGACACTTCATAGTTATTGTATTAAAACTATGACACTATACATTTTTTTTAAAGTTTCGTCATCTGGCGCAGCATCTCCTTCTGCAGGCACCTCCGCCGAGACCGTTACTTCCAGGACCTGTAGCAAACTGTTAGAAAGAATATTAATACAGTTTCTCTGTAAGAATTTCAAAATTGTAGCAAGTTTGAGAGAACTCACGTCTTAAGAAAGAGATTCTTCCTCGATTGGTAAGACCACCTCCTTCACGTTCATCTCCGTTTTAAGGAGATTAACTAGAATCGGTAAAATAGAATCAATAAGTTAGAAGTACATAGTTTGAAACCACAAATTATTGATAAGATGAATAAGTTACTTACACTTAGCTCGAAGACTGGCGTTATAGGAATGCAGCCGATCTATTACTCAATCCCGTTTCTCCTGAAGCTGCTTGGAGTTGTTTATGAAGGTGACGCCCTCGTCGAAAACCTTTTTGAAAAAGAATGAAAAAAAAAGGGATATACTCATAAAAAAAACCGGGTTTCCAGAAAGGTGAAGTTTAAAAGTTATTTTTAGGTGACATAGGGTGTGTGAATGTATTGTTTGACTGAAAATATTTATGCTGAATGTTTTGAAAACTCACGTTTATGTCCAAAGAGATGCTCGAATCACCACTCGGTCGCTCCGCGGGCTCCGGCGCCAGCGCTTTCACCTGGCGGACACACAGCGCACGTCAGTTGTGAAAATACTTACACCTGTATCGAAGAGTTTCTTTATAGGTAAGCAGCATAATATTTCGCTTCGAGAATTCCTTTCTTAGTGCACCTTTACGGTACCTAAGCTACGTCCCTTCCAAATTTCAAGTGCCTACGTTTAGCCGTTTAGGCTGTGCGTTGATATGTCAGTGAGTCAGTCAGTTTCTCCTTTTATATGTATACATACTAGCTTTCCGCCCGCGGCTTCGCCCGCGTGGAATTTTGTCTGTCACAGAAAAACAATATCGCGCGCGTATTTACTCACCGTTTAGACCTACCCTGGACTACGACAAACATTTTAAAACCAAAATCAGCTCAATCGGCCCAGCCGTTCTCGAGTTATAATCAGACTAACGAACAGCAATTCATTTTTATTTATATAGATAGATAGATGATAGCTAGCGGCCGCCCTCGACTTCGTACGCGTGGATCCCGTTTTACCCCCTTCATCTATCTTAAGCGGTTTAGATTTTTTTCATACAAATGTTTTTTCCCGCTAACTCCCGTTCCCGTGGGAATTTTGCGATATCCTGGTGTACCTAAGCTTCAAGTTTACTAAGGTACCTGCACACCAAATTTCAAGCGTCTAACTTAAGCGGTTTAGATTTTTCATACAAAAGGATTTTTCCGCTAATTCCCGTTCCCGTGGGAATTTCGGGAATTCCTTTCTCAGTGCACCTCTACGGTACCTAAACTACGTCCCTTCCAAATTTCAAGTGCCTACGTTTAGCCGTTTAGGCTGTGCGTTGATCTGTCAGTCAGTCAGTCAGTCAGTTTCTCCTTTTATATATTTAGATTTAGATTTTAGTAAAATTTAATTACGAAAATTAAAATTTAATTACGTCCTCTGGCGCAGCAGCTCCTTCTGCAGGCGCCTCCGCTGAGACCGTTACTTCTATGACCTGTAGCAAACATAGTATGTTAGAAAAAATATTAAATACAGTTTCTCTGTATGAATTTCAGCATTGTAGAAAGTTTGAGAGAATCACGTCATGAGAAAGAGAATCGTCCTCGATTGGTAATACCAGCTCCTTCACGTTCAACTCCGCTTTCAGGAACTTCACTAGAATCGATAATAGAATCAACAAGTAAGTAGTACATGGCTTGTAACCCATCAATTACTATCAAATTGTTGATAAAATGAATAATTACTGACACTTAGCCCGATAACTGGCGTAACGGGAACGCAGCAGATCTATTACTCGTTCCCGTTTCTCCTGAAGCTGCTTGGAGTTGTCAATGAAGGTGACGGCCTCGTCGAAAACCTTTTTTGTTTTCGTCTGGTAAAATAAAGAAGAAAATGGGACCTACTAATGATAATATTAAGATATCACTATAATATATTTTGTGCTGAAATCAGCAACCAAATACTTTATTTTTGGCACTTTATAGTTATTTTAGTAAAACTATGATACTATAATTAAAAATAATAAAGGTTACGTCGTCTGGCAGCAGTTCCTTCTGCAGGCACCTTCGCCGAAACGGTTACTTCCAGGACCTGTAGCAAACATAGTGTGTTAGAAAAAATATTAAATACAGTTTCTCTGTAAGAATTTCAGAATTGTAGGACGTCTGAGAGAACTCACGTTTTGAGAAAGAGATTCTTCCTCGATTGGCATGACCAGCTCCTTCACGTTCAACTCCGCTTTCAGGAGATTCACTAGAATCTATAATAAAATCAATAGATCAGAATTACTTAATTTGGAACTATCAAACTATTGATAAAATGAATAAGTTACTTACACTTAGCTCGAAGAGTGGCGTTATAGGAACGCAGCAGATCTATTTCTGAGTCCCGTTTCTCATGAAGCTGCTTAGAGTTGTCAATGAAGGTGACAGCCTCGTCGAAAACCTTTTTGGTTTTCGTCTGGAAGAGGAACAAAAAGATAATGGGACCTACTCATGATATTATCATATCACTGTAAGATGTTTTTAGCATAGTGTGGAACTATGAATTACTATCAAATCGTTAATAAAATGAATAAGTTACTTACACTTAGCTCGAAGACTGGCGTTATGGGAACGCATTACGTAGCAGACCTATTACTCGTTCCGGTTTCTCCTGAAGCTGCTTGGAGTTGTTAATGAAGGTGACGGCCTCGTCGAAAACCTTTTTGGTTTTCGTCTGGAAAAAGAATGAAGAAAATGGGACCTACTAATGATAATTTAAGATATCACTATAATATATTTTGTGCTGAAATCAGCAACCAAATACTTTATTTTTGGCACTTTATAGTTATTTTAGTAAAACTATGCTCCTTATCGTTCAAATCCGCTTTCAGGAGATTCACTAGAATCTATAATGAAATCAGTATGTCTGAATTACTTAATTTGGAACTATCAAACTATTGAAAAAATGAATAAGTTACTTACACTTAGCCCGAAGAGTGGCGTTATAGGAACGCAGCAGATCTATTTCTGACTCCCGTTTCTCATGAAGCTGCTCAACGAAAACCTTTTTGGTTTTCGTCTGGAAAAAGAATGAAAAAAAAGGGATATACTCATGAGAAAAAAACCGGGTTTCCAGAAAGGTGACGTTTAAAAGTATTATTAGGTGACATAGGGTGTGTGAATGTATTGTTTGATTGAAAATATTTATGCTGAATGTTTTGAAAACTCACGTTAATGCCCAAAGAGATGCTCGAATCACCACTCGGTCGCTCCGCAGGCTCCGGCGCCAGCGCCTCCACCTGTCAGACACACAGCACACGTCAGTTGTGAAAATACTTACCTACACCTGTATCGAAGAGTTTCGTTATAGGTAAGCTCCTTAGCGCTGTTCATGAACGCAACGGTCTCGTGGAAAACCTTTTTGGTTCTCATCTGGGAAATGAAAGAAGAAAATGGGACCTACTAATGATATATTATGATATCACTATAAAATATTTTGTGCTGAAATCAGCCACCAAAGACTTTACTTACTTTTGGCACTTCATAGTTAGTGTATTAAAACTATGACACTATAATTTTTTTTTAAAGTTTCGTCATCTGGCGCAGCAGCTGTTTCTGCAGGCACCTCCGCCGAGACCGTTACTTCCAGGACCTGTAGCAAACTGTTAGAAAAAATATTAATACAGTTTCTCTGTTAGAATTTCAAAATTGTAGGAAGTTTGAGAGATTTCACGTCTTGAGAAAGAGATTCTTCCTAGATTGGTAAGACCAACTCCTTCACGTTCAACTCCGCGTTCAGGAGATTCACTAGAATCGATAAATCAATAAGAAGAACATAGTTTGGAACTATCAAATTATTGATAAGATGAATAAGTTACTTACACTTAGCCCGATAACTGGCGTAACGGGAACGCAGCAGATCTATTACTCGTTCCCGTTTCTCCTGAAGCTGCTTGGAGTTGTCAATGAAGGTGACAGTCTCGTCGAAAACCTTTTTGGTTTTCATCTGGAAGAGGAACAAAAAGATAATGGGACCTACTCATGATATTATCATATCACTGTAAGATGTTTTTAGCATAGTGTGGAACTATGAATTACTATCAAATCGTTAATAAAATGAATAAGTTACTTACACTTAGCTCGAAGACTGGCGTTATGGGAACGCATTACGTAGCAGACCTATTACTCGTTCCGGTTTCTCCTGAAGCTGCTTGGAGTTGTTAATGAAGGTGACGGCCTCGTCGAAAACCTTTTTGGTTTTCGTCTGGAAAAAGAATGAAGAAAATGGGACCTACTAATGATATATTATGATATCACTATAATATATCTTGTGCTGACATCAGCAACCAAATACTTACTTTATTTTTGGCACTTTATGTTTATTTTAGTAAAATTATGATACTATAATTAAAAATAATAAAGGTTTCGTCGTCTGGCAGCAGTTCCTTCTGCAGGCACCTTCGCCGAAACCGTTACTTCCAGGATCTGTAGCAAACATAGTGTGTTAGAAAAAATATTAAATACAGTTTCTCTGTAAGAATTTGTCTGCTCGTTTGCCTCCTGTCACATAAAAAAAACAGAATTGTAGGACGTCTGAGAGAACTCACGTTTTGAGAAAGAGATTCTTCCTCGATTGGTAAGACCAGCTCATTCACGTTCAACTCCGCTTTCAGGAGATCACTAGAATCTATAATAAAATCAATAAGTCAGAATTACTTAATTTGGAAAAAATATTAAATACAGTTTTTCTGTAAGAATTTCAGAATTGTAGGACGTCTGAGAGAACTCACCCTCCACCTCCTTCACTTTCAACTCCGCTTTCAGGAGATTCACTAGAATCGATAAAATACAATCAATTAGTCAGAAGTACATAGTTTGGACCTATCAAATTATTGATAAGATGAATAAGTTACTTACACTTAGCTCGAAGACTGGCGTTATAGGAACGCAGCCGATCTATTACTCATTCCCGTTTCTCCTGAAGCTGCTTGGAGTTGTTAATGAAGGTGACGCGGCCTCGTCGAAAACCTTTTTGGTTTTCGTCTGGAAAAAGAATGAAAAAAGGGATATACCTACTCATGAGAAAAAAAACCGTGTTCCAGAAAGGTGACGTTCAAAACTTAGTTTTAGGCGACATAAGGTGTGCTTGACTTATGGTCCTATGTCCCCTAGATGGGGCAGACGGCGTCCACAACAGTCCTCCATCGCGTTCGGTCTTGAGCTATGTGTTTGATCTCGCTCCAAGTCTTGCCGATCTTCTTCGCCTCGTCTGCCACAGTGCGCCGCCAAGTTTGCTTGGGGCGACCACGTTTGCGTTTTCCTTGGGGGTTCCAATCCAGAGCCTGCTTGGGGATGTGATCGGGATCCCTTCGGAGAGTGTGGCCAATCCAGTTCCACTTGCGGCGCTTGATCTGCTGGTCGATCGGAATTTCGTGGCAGCGTTCCAATAGCTCGACGTTGGAGATTTTCCCAGGCCAGTGTATGCCGAGAATTCGGCGAAGGCAGCGGTTGACGAAGACCTGCAGCTGGTGCGAGATGACCCTGGTGACCTTCCACGTTTCACACCCATAGAGCAGCACGGATTTAACGTTGGACCCGAAAATTTTGATCTTGACCCTTCGGGTCAGTTTCCGTGACTGCCATACGGGGCGAAGTTGTGCGAAGGTGGCTCTAGCCTTGGCAATGCGCGAAGTGATGTCCTCTTCGGTACCTCCAGTCTCTGACACGACGCTCCCGAGGTAGGTAAAATTGTGGACACGTTCCACATCCTCTGCACCAATCCGTAATGGTGTGCAATTCCTCACTCCAGATCGCATCTCTTGGTTGGACATAAGGTGTGCGATTTGATTAAAAATATTTATGCTGAATGTTTTGAAAACTCACGTTCATGCCCAAAGAGATGCCCGAATCACCACTCGTTCGCTCCGCGGGCTCCGGCGTCAGCACTTCCACCTGGCGGACACACAGCACACATCAGTTGTAAACATCAAAGTAACTTGTCGCTTCGGCAACAAATTAGATATTTTCATTTATTGTCTCTCAATAAAATAATAGGAAAAGAAACTGACATCGCTAATCGAGAAAAAATCCTCCGACTCCGGGCCGATCGCCGAAGATGTTGACTCTTCGATTTCCATGAGCTGTAGGCATTTATAAAGATAAAAATAAAGACTAAAGTCATTCCATATTTTAGTAAAAAATAATACACTGAATGTATAAAAAGTAAAAACACTCACGTCGTCTGGCGCAGTAGCTTCTTCTACTGGCTCCTGCTACGAGACCTCGTTCTGCAGGATAAAATCTACAAATCACCAGTAAATAGTTTGGAATAGCAAAATAATGATACTTACACCTGCATTGTTAAAGGCAAGCAGTTTATGCTGCTTCCCCTCAAGCCGCTTCTCGCTTTTCATGCAGGTAACGGCCTCGTCGAAGAACTTTTTGGTTTCGTTTGGAAAAGGAACGAAAAGATAATGGGGACCTACTCATGATATATGATATCACTATAAGATTTGCGCTGAAATTAGGCACCAAAGACTTCCTTACTATTTTATTTTCTGGCACTTTATAGGTATTTTAGTAAACATTTTACTATAATTTAAAACAAATAAGATACGTCGTCTAGCGCTGCAACTCCTTCTGCTGGCGCCTCCGTCGAGACCGTTACCTCTAGGACCTTTAGCAAACATAGTGTGTTAGAAAAATTATTTAATACAGTTTCTCTGTAAGAATTTCAGAATTGTAGGAAGTTTAAGAGAACACACGTTTTGAGAAGGAGATTCTTCCTTGATTGGTAAGACCAGCTCCTTCACGTCCAACTCCGCTTTCAGGAGATTCACTAAAATCGAAAATAAAATCAATCAGACAGAAAGTCATAGTTTGGAACTATCAAATTATTGATAAGATGAATGTTACTTACACTTAGCCCGAAGAGTGGCGTTATAGGAACGCAGCCGATCTATAACTCGTTCCCGTTTCTCCTGAAGCTGCTTGGAGTTGTTAATGAAGGTGTCGGCCTCGTCGAAAACCTTTTTGGTTTTCGTCTGGAAAAAGAACGAACCTAGTTAATGGGACTGAAACAAGTTTAATGTGGGAAACGCCGCTAGTTGATCATTTGCAACCTCGCCAAGATGCAGAAGGAAAACTTTGTCTTAGAGCAGAAATCGAAGCCTGTATCTGAATCACTTAAAATCGATTGTGTTTGTAAATTTTCTTTCAGCGAGTTTATGTTTTCATATACTATAAGTATATAGTAGGCCTCTGAAGACATTCTAGACATCAAATACGTATATAACTGGGATCGTTTCATTGTTATGAAGGCAGTGCAGGTTGTACAATTGCTTAAAAAGGGGCGGTGTCACCTTGAACGTACCATCAACAAACCAATGCAGTGTTTGTTTTAGCAGATCAAATTTTTTCTCACTTGAGAAAAAAAAGAACCTTCCTTCTATAGGACCAGAATCAAATAAAAGAAATGGTTCATCTCGAAAAATTTTACTGTACGCTTGGGGAATTGCAAGAGAAACAAGCGAAATAGGGTTTGCTGGAGCCGAAGTAATACTATGCCGCTTATAGTATAAGATCCCGCTATACAACGACCTTCACCGAGATGCTTATTTGATGAAACATATTTTATATTCAATTTAACATGTCAATAATTATATTGCTTAAGGGTTGCCTAATAAATTTCAGTCCAGGATATGATTAATTAATCATTAAAAAAAGTTTTATTTTTAAATATTTCATCGGTTTGATTATTAAACAAACTCCATACCAATCGAAAGTATGAAGCCCATAGAATATGCAAACGTTAGGTTGCCTATTCTTTTCCAGTCATAACTCTCGGGTTGCCAGGTACAAACAGGTAAATTGATAGAGCATTTTGCATCGGTCTGATAATTTAATCAAATATAAATGAAAATAAAGATTATTTCATTATGAACACGAAGGTATAGGGTTGCCTGCGAAAAATCAGTCCTGAATGACGGTTGTCGAATTTTGTAAAGTGAAATTAAAACTGAAAGGTGACATTTTTCGAGTAGTTGGCAACATTTGGGAAAGACGAGTTGTATGAGGCGTTTGTGTGTCTTGTCAAGAGGTGTCGCTTGGGTGAAGAAATTTCTCCAGTGTTGCCATGCTTTCGGAGATTTGGTCCAAAAATGTCGAAAGTGGAAATAACGACTTCCGGTCAAAAATTTGGATGACGCCTCCTGCAAAAGGGTCGTACAAATGACATTTGACCATTTTCATCTCGATCACCTGGCAACACTTGCAGCTATGGGGAAAAGTATTTTTTTTCGACATGGGTGTCTTTAAAGTTAAGGACGGACAGAAGGAGATATGGCAGAAAAAATCCAAAAATGGGGTTTGGTCGGTTATACGACCCAGATTATGGGAAAAATCCGAAAATTCAGAAAATCAAGATGGCGACCGAGTGAGCGGTCATTTTGTAAAAAGTTTCAGATTTCTGATTTTTCAAATGCATTTTTTGGTCAGTTGGCAACATTTGGGAAACTCGAGTTGTATAGAGCGATTACGTAGTTTGCTAAGGAGTATCGTTTGGAAAAACAACATTTTCCAGTGTTGCCATACTTATTGCATTTTTCGCTTAATCTAGACCATTTTCCGCGCCGAAACCCATTTTTACTTTTTTTCTAACTTAAACCAATCCCGTGAAACAATTCCTTAAAACCACCCAAGTCCCAAAATTTTGTGGCCCCGTAACTGCCAGTGTTGCCAGGTAATCGAGATAAAAATAGTCAAATGTCATTAGTTTGACCTATTTGCAGGAGGCGTCATCCAAATTTTGGACCAAAAGTCGTTATTTCCATTTTTTACATGTTTTGACCAAATCTTTCAAAGTATGGCAACACTGGAAAATGTTGTTTTTCCAAACGATACTCCTTAGCAAACTACGTAATCGCTCTATACAACTCGAGTTTCCCAAATGTTGCCAACTGCCCAAAAAATGCATTTGAAAAATCAGAAATCTGAAACTTTTTACAAAATGGCCGCTCACTCGGTCGCCATCTTGATTTTCTGAATTTTCGGATTTTTCCCATAATTTGGGTCGTATAACCGACCAAACCCCATTTTTGGATTTTTTCTGCCATATCTCCTTCTGTCCGTCCTTAACTTTAAAGACACCCATGTCGAAAAAAAATACTTTTCCCCATAGCTGCAAGTGTTGCCAGGTGATCGAGATGAAAATGGTCAAATGTCATTTGTACGACCCTTTTGCAGGAGGCGTCATCCAAATTTTTGACCGGAAGTCGTTATTTCCACTTTCGACATTTTTGGACCAAATCTCCGAAAGCATGGCAACACTGGAGAAATTTCTTCACCCAAGCGACACCTCTTGACAAGACACACAAACGCCTCATACAACTCGTCTTTCCCAAATGTTGCCAACTACTCGAAAAATGTCACCTTTCAGTTTTAATTTCACTTTACAAAATTCGACAACCGTCATTCAGGACTGATTTTTCGCAGGCAACCCTATACCACCGTGTTCATAATGAAATAATCTTTATTTTCATTTATATTTGATTAAATTATCAGACCGATGCAAAATGCTCTATCAATTTACCTGTTTATACCTGGCAACCCGAGAGTTATGACTGGAAAAGAATAGGCAACCTAACGTTTGCATATTCTATGGGCTTCATACTTTCGATTGGTATGGAGTTTGTTTAATAATCAAACCGATGAAATATTTAAAAATAAAACTTTTTTTAATGATCAATTAATCATATCCTGGACTGAAATTTATTAGGCAACCCTTAAGCAATATAATTATTGACATGTTAAATTGAATATAAAATATGTTTCATCAAATAAGCATCTCGGTGAAGGTCGTTGTATAGCGGGATCTTAGACTATTACTGTTTATGCATTTCTTTATTGCTTGTTGGTAATTTTCCTATTGCCTCAGCTGATGCCGTATTAGCTGAATCAGCAACAATTTGCTGAGGATTAGATTGTGTGTGCACGGCCAGATCTTTTTTGAAATAATCGTACGTTTTTGAACTGCAGCCCGGCTGGGAACATGGTTATGCTGGGATATAATTTTGATTACATCATTGGTCAAATGATAACGACCACGATATTGAGCAATTGTCCTCAACGCATCGCCAAAATTTTGAATAGAATATTGCCATCTCCATTGCTTTTGATAGTTTCAATGTAGATTTTTCTAGTAATTCTCGGAGCCAAGTGCTTCCGTTTCTGATTCGATCTCGCAAAGAAACACCAAGCATAGCCCTCTCCATAGCACGCTGTGCAACTTTGAGCTTCTGTATAAGGCCAATAGTGAGAGGCCACGTAGGCAGGGCACATAGTACGCAGAACTGACGGCCGATGGGGCAGCAAGGTTTTGGAATGGAGGCTGCGTACCAGAAAACGCAGCGTGTGACGTCCACCTACAAGGTGGACCGACGACATCGTAAAGGTAGCAGAGAAGCGCTGGATGCAGGCCGCTACCAATCGATCAACGTGGAAAGCATTAGGGCAGGCCTATGTTCAGCAGTGGACGATGATGATGATGAGTGCTTCCAGGACAGCAAAGTGTAACTATATGCAGTTCCATTGCGCTAGTGGGCCACATAGCTGCGTTCGTGCTGATGTCATAGGGCCGAATGTTACAAGTACTGTGTCGCCATCTAGCGCACCACACGCGTATATGTTCTTATTTCCATAGTGTTTTTTTACAGTGGGAGAATAACACGTGCGCTTAAATATCCATTCTAGTTTCCCTTCAACACACCTTACTTACACCTATTTTTATTAGAAAGGTCTCTATCTTCTAAAAATTGATTATGACTTTTTGGGGACAAATAAAAATGTATTACAGACAAAAGTATGTATTATAAAATAAATATTCGACGAAATATAACTAATCAATAAATTACATTAAAACATTAAAATGGCAACTTAGGCTTAACTTCTAACAACTTTACAAACAACTATTAAATACTTAACACTAACATGCAAATTAACCTAAAATCTCGCAAGGCCGATGCTCCTCGAAGTAACTTTAAACTGTCCTCACCTGTAAGAAGAACAAACACATGTTAACTACGATCTAGAAGTTAAAAGAAACTATACATATAAAAATTGAATCTAATTTTGCCATGAAAAGAAGTCCTTACCAATTCCGGCTCACAGCTGTCAACTGTTGAAGTATAGCGCCACCAACCGGTCCACCTCCGCCAGCCCCTCACGTGTGGACAAGCGGCGCGCGTTAGTCAACCCGGTGATGAACTTGACTTGCTGGTGATCGCACTGCTCAAGGAAGACGATTGACTTACTCGTGACGTCGGGAAGCTGGTGGGTCGCTGGTGGAGGCAGAGGAAGCCTTAAGGATTCATGTCCTGTGGGCAAAGAAAACAAATGTTAGAAGAATATTGTCAACAATACCGTATCAGTTTTATAAAAATGACACTATAAACTTAATGCTTCAGCGAAGTCACAAATAGGTACTTACAATATCCAGCGGATCTGGTATGTCCATGGCCGCTATGGTCTCCAAGAGCGCGTCCTCTTCTGGGTACACAGGAAGCAGGGCAAGGAGATTCTGTGAATATTATAAATAGGGTTAGAAAATACAATCACAATGTAGAAAAAAATAATATACCTGATGATGACTTTTTTAATAACAAAACTTACTTCTAGGGGAGAATCTACGCCGGAATCATGTTGGTACTCGTAGACCATTTCTGTGTCGGTGATCTGAGAGGAGAAATAAATTGCATTGTTAGAATACTTATTATCTAATTGATGACAATAATTTACAGTGCGTTTTGTAGAAAAATGTACTTACAAGATTGTTAGTAGAAACTTGGTTACACTCCTCCATCTTCTCTGCTGATGCAAGAACGCCGAGGATCTAAACACAAAAATGCATTTGTCAGAACAATTACAAGTATAAAAAAAAAGTACTGCTATGATGAGATCGAAATCGAGAAACTTACGTCAATTTCACCAGGTTGGTCAACATCCATACAGTCAGAGGAAGCTATCGGTTCCACGGGAACGTCAAAATCGCTCAGACTAACGTCCATGGCTTCACTCGCCTCTAGATGGAGCAGTTGGTCAACAAACTGCAAAAAAAAAAAACAGATTATTAAAATACAGGAACAATTTATAATAATTACTTGATACAGAAAACCTTATGGATTCATATAATTTATTATTATTGAATGTCAAACAAACTTACTTACTCATGATTACTTACTTTTGAGAGACGAACGGGGTTGTGCCCGCGAGGCTGGCCACGTTGTCTCAGAGGCAGGTTGTGCATCTGAAAGATGAAGAATAAGACGTTAGTCTCAAGAAAATTTCTGGTCAATTAAAATAAATTCGCCTTTAATAAAGCATGTTGTAAGTGATTCAAACTTACAATTTCCAATTCCATTGCGACGGTGATAACTCGGCTCACAGGACACGGTGGTTCTAATCCACACCAAAAGGCGACTGAAGAAGGCTGGCGCGGGAGCCGCCTTAAGTACCTGCGCCCGCGCACCCGAGAAAGGGTACCTAATTAAGCATAGTATGAAATCATTTAATATCGCGGAATTTTTTCTTACCTGTACCTATGTTTTTACGTTACAAGCTGAATAGAAATTTTCGATTCCTATTTAAAATGGTTCTTCCTAGTCGTTAGTTTCTTTACTATGCAGTTTATTTTAATACTTATTTAATCTAATCTAAGAATTCTTTCAATAATAATTGTTTGGCAGAAAAAAATGGTTTCGTCTTAAAGGGTAAACAACTTTAAATATTGTTTACACAAACCTTGCAGTATTGCTACAGAATGATAAATAAGGTACTTCTACCAAAGTAACTAATAGAGATACAAAATAATAAATAAATAAAATAAATAAGTGATAAATGTCACTAAATATAGTTGAAATGGTCACCCAATATTGAAATGGTTACAACCGCGGCGTTGGTTGTTTAACTTTAATATCGATACCAATGCGCTACTGTTTCTAAAAGCACCTCGAAATACTACCTCACTCTTTACGAAATGTTTTCTTCGTTTTGGAGCATAAAACATTCGTCTGGATCGTAATCGTAACTCTCAATTTCATTAAAACTGATTAGCTCTTCCAGTGAGTCCAGATTAGGAACAGCTTTTAACAACGCGATTGCGGCTACAGGCAAAGGAATCCTACATTGTTTCTTTTGTCGTTAGAGAAGTTGTTTTTGCGAAATTACAGGGTCAGATGACTCTAAAGCCCTATGGAATAAATCAGTCATCGTTTCCACCCTATCCATTTTTCGACTGTGATGCTCGCGATCGCTTCTTCAAAATTTATTTCTAGACTCCGATGCTTGTTCTGTGAGCATTCCAATAGGAAGTGATGTTGAGTTTATTATTGCCGCCCCATGTATAAATATTTTATGCAAAGAGACAGTCATTGGATGCCTATCGTAACTTTCTACACATTGGAATGCCACCCGTTTACAAAAATCGTCAAATTTGTCACCATCGATTGATAGCCCACTGGACATAACAATTAAAATAACGTGTAAATCGTCCAGAAGCTACTGATCAAGGTCTTAAATTTCTGAAAATATTTGGCGATTCTTGTCAGACAAGGCAATTATTTCCGTCATTTGTGGTACCGGAATTAGGCCGAACAACATCTACCAGTAAGCCTAACTTCTCTCGTATTCTATGCCAAATTTCATCAAAATTGGTTTCGTGGTTTAGGCGTTAAAGCAAGACAGAGTTACTTTCGCATTTATAATATTAGTATACTTAGATAGATTTTAAAATTTTAAATGTTTACCTTCCTAATAATGCGATGTTGTAAAGATGCTCTTGCCATCTTGCATTAAGATTATTTGGTAAAATTGCGGAAAATGATGGTTTCGGTTTCAATAAACCGTTGCTTTGGAATAATATACGAGTAGGTACATGAGACTGAAATGCTTGTAAGTACGAGTACTATTGCTAATAATACTTTGATCATTCTGGTCCATTTAATTTTTTAAATAATAATTATTATCGTCACTTTGTTTGACACGAAACATTCTTAATTTGGTATAATAGGTAGGTACTTATTGTAAGATATCATTAGCCACCCAATTAACTTAAACTTTGACACTGAGTAGGTACTTAGTGTGAAAGTTTAAGTTACCTTGATACTAATGACATGATAAACTAATGATGTGTTAGAAAATTGCACTATTTTGTTGATAGTGTAAGTATTTGTCATATTAGCTTACAGAAAGACATAACAAACCAATTTCCACTTAGTAGGATACTGCTTATGGAACCGGCAATTATTAACAATCCTTGAGTAGGTTTGTTTCAGTTTGAATAAAATATTAGTTTTCAGAGCATTTCTAACTTTATTTTATGATATCTTTAATTTCAAATCAATTGCTACGAAATTAATTACGTTAGACCTGACTGTTAATAGTCCACAAGGCTTATGAATAAGACGAACACCTCTGTTTCTTGAGATTTATGGATTATTGTTTTTCTTGACAACTTTTAAAACATAAATTAGCAACGCTATCAAAAATAAAAACATGGACACTTCCCAGGTGTATTGTGTTTGGAACTTTGGACAGTTGCACTCACAGTAGTGAAACTCCAAAATTTGTCGGTACTACAAAGAAAAGTATTTCAAATGTTACTCTATAAAACGTGTGATAAGCATAAACAATGTAATCATAAAAGGTGCATGGGTCAGCGATATTGGCCTCCCTTTCTTATCCATTTTGAGACAATGCACACCAACGCACCCGCTACACTTTAGTGCTAATATCTGCGGGCGTATTGTTTCTTCACAATGACACCTTGCCATTGAGTATTTTTGCAAACATCGATTATCATTCAACAACTTTTTAAAAATAAGTCTTAAAAGTGAGCTTCAACACGAAGTTAATATTATAATTTATGATACACCCTTTATGTGTGCCTGGATGTTTAGGAATAGAAAAAGTAACTTTTATTACTTCACCAATCGGAGCAGTTTTTTACCTGTACATCACACTCAACAGTTCAAAACTATTGTTTCTAGTGTCGCTAGCTTAATATTTAAATAAAAAAAAGTATTTATGTATTTTTATATCCGTTGTCTAGTACCCATAGCACAAGCTTTGCTTAATTTGGGGTTAGCGGCGCAGTGTAAAATGTCCAAGGATATTTATTAATTAATATTATTTATTTGATGAATTATTTATTTGATGATTTATGATGGACATTTGACGTCGAAAATGTTTTTTAATGTAGGCTTAGTTCTGTAGAACAGTTATTATGTTATTTAATTGATTTATTTTGTTTGGTAGGTACCCATAAATAAGTTTGGCATCAATATGAAAGGTACTATACCTAGTTTATTATTCATGTGTAGTTTGTAATTTTCTATCATTGTCATATTTAGAAAAGCACAAAAAATTGTTGATGCTTGAACGAACATACTATGAAAAGTTTGCTTCATAATAAACTGAGTGATGCCAAAATTTAGGAATGAAATGAATAAGACAGAAATTCTCCTGACAAAGTGAGTCGATATTTTTTGCAATTACATTAGTCATTTTAGAAGTAGAAAGTAGGTAATTATGGTTAATGACAAACGGGTTAGGCTAATGATGTTTTGGAAAAGGTACTTAGCCTAAGAAGGTTCATCACGTGAATTCTAATGACAATATTTTTTAAACTTATTGCATAATTGCACTATTCAGTTAATGACTAGTAACACTGGCTTACCAACAAACAAAACAAACGCCGGGCTAGAATGCGCGCCGTGACAAAATCTTAACAATGATGTTCGGTGACAAATATTAATGTGAGTTTACTTGTATTGCGTAAAATCGACGCGCATGCTAAGCCTTCTGGCATGTGAATACATGCTTACCAATGCGATAGCTATTCATGAACCTAGCCATCAGAGAAACAAAAATATTCATAGTACGTCAAATATTAATACTGCTGAAGTTGCTACGGAGCTATGCTACGATTCTTCGTAGCGTCATATCAGTTGCTACAGAGTTATTTTCGTAGCAGCCGAGTGTTACAGTTCACAAGACATACATTTTGTTTCCCGTGATTGTGATTGCTCAAAGTGACGACTCGGTCGGGCAAAACTAATATTTTCAACCTGTCGTTATCTTTCATTTAGTTAGCCTCTGCCTAATCCGGAACTTTAGTTGTCACGGCACGGTACGGCTAGATAGTAGATTCCTCCTGGCTTCCCTCTGGTACAACTTTGACGTCGATTTGAATTTATTTTTACCTTACATTCATTTATTTATCAGGAATGTTTTCGTTAAAAATAGTGACACTAATAAAGCCAATCATTTTTTTATTCAAAACAAAGAATGAAAATTTCAACGTTCAGTGCCGAAAATATGTCGTTTTCCGTCGTCCTTTATATCAAGAGCGATGAGAGAGTTATCTCAAAGCGTTTAATCAGGAACTGGATATCGAGAGGAAACGTTATAATACGATCCCTTCGACACTTATAAATCATTTGCCTTTTATATGAGGGCGTAGGTGTTGTTGACTTATATTCACGCTACGAATCAGCGATTGTGTAGCAGCTATCGCGTTACTTTTGGTAGTATTCCAAATCTACTATTTTTTTATTAAAAATATATGTTCTAAACATTTACAATGTGCAGTAATGCATAAAATGTTTGTTACGGCTTTTGTGGACAAATAAAAATCAAAAATGTATTATAGACAAAAGTATATTATAAAATAAACATTCAACGATAACAAATTACACTAAAAACATTAAAATGGCAACTAATTACAAGAATTTTACAAACTACTATTTAATACTTAACACTAACATGCAAATTAACCTAAAATCTCCCGAGGCCGATGCTCCTTGGAGTGAATTTAATTCAAATTGTCCTCAACTGAAACAAGAACAAACACACGATTAGAAGAAAGCAAAGACATAAAAAATTAATCTAATTTTGCCATAAAAACAAGTCCTTACCAATTCCGGCTCACAGCTGTCAACTGTTGAAGAATAGCGCCACCAACCGGTCCACCTCCGCCAGCCCCTCACCTGTGGACAAGCGGCGCGCGTTAGACAACCCGGTGATGAACTTGACTTGCTGGTGATCGCACTGCTCAAGGAAGACGATTGACTTACTCGTGACGTCGGGAAGCTGGTGGGTCGCTGGTGGAGGCAGAAGGAATCCTGAGGGATTCACGTCCTGTGGGCAAAGAAAACAAATGTTAGAAGAATATTATCAACAAATCCGTGTCAGTTTTATAAAAACTACATTATAAACTTAATGCTTCAGCGAAGTCCCAAATAGATACTTACAATATCCAGCGGATCTGGTATGTCCATGGCCGCTATGGTCTCCAAAAGCGCATCCTCTTCCGGGTACACAGGAAGCAGGTCAAGGAGATTCTGTGGATATTATAAATAGGGTTAGAAAATACAATCACAATCTAGAAAAAAAATAAAATGTCTGACGACGATGATTTTAATAAAACTTACTCCTGGGGGAGAGTCAACACCGGAATCATGTTGCTCCGCGGGTACCACTACTGCGTCGGTGATCTGGAAGGAAAAAGAAATCGCATTGTTAGAACACTTATCAAATCGAAGACAATAATTTACAGTGCGTTTTGTAGAAAAATAAACTTACAGGATTGTTTAGAGAAACTTCGTTACACTCCTCCATCTTCTCTTTTGATGGAAGAACGCCGAGGATCTAAACACAAAAATTCATTTGTCAGAACAATTATAAGTATAAAAAACAATAGTACTGCTATGATGAGATCGAAATCGTGAAACTTACAATCTCACTGGGTAGGACATCCATAGCGCCGGAGAAAGGTATTGATTCCTCGGCAACAACTTCAAAAGCGCTCAGATCAACATCCATTGCTTCACTCTCCTCTACATGAAGCAGTTGATCAACAAACTGAAAAAAAAAACAGATTATTAAAATAAAGTAACAATTCACTTGTAAGTAATACTTGTAACAGAACATAAAATATAACTTGGTTTTGAATTTCAAACAAACTTACGCTTTGAGGTGCGCACTCGCGGCCGCCCGCCGGCGCCGCCCGCTTCCTGGGAGGAGACTCCTGCCTCCTGAGGGATGCCTGCAGCCTCCGCACTACAAACAAACACACCACACGTTATGCATTATGTATGATACTCAATACTAATTCTCATCGTAAGCTATTAATGTAATACCTAATAAAATTTTAAAACAAAAGTAAAGTAAACGGTGTTTATAAGACTTACACTTTTTGCGCAGCTTTGCGTTGTCAGCGCGCAGTTGTTCCGCTTCTTTCTCCGCATCTGAGGCGTCGTCTTCCAAGTCCGCTATGTAGATCGCAACTTCCTTGTCGCTTTTTGGCTGGTGCACCTTCTGAAAAATAAGAAAACTGTTAGTTAAGTATACAAAAGGATTAAAATATGAATGCCCTTGTGTACTGTGTGCTTACTTCAGGGTTTATCAGTTGGACAAGCTCCGTCCACCTTTCCTTGATTTCTTTGCGTCTCAGTTGTTCGTAATACTTGTTGCGCTCCTTCTGCTGCTCCTAAATAACACGAGAAAGAAAATTAATGTTACACATCGTTTAAATGAAGATTGTACGTACACACTCGCAATGATCACTTACTTTCGAGAGACGAGCGCGGTTGTGCCCGCGAGGCCGACCACGCTGTCTCAGAGGCAGGTTGTGCATCTGAAAGATAAATTCAATAAGATAAAACATAAAACGTTACCTTAGTCTCAACAAAATGTCTGGTCAAGTGAAATAAGTTCGCCTTTAATAACCCCTGTTTTAAGTGATCCAAACTTACATTTTCCAATTCCATTGCGACGGTTTTGAAAACTCGTGATTACAAAATTGCGCACAGGACACAGTGGTTCTGATCGATACCAAAGAACGACTGAAGAAGGCTGGAGCGGGAGCCGCCTTAGGTAAGTGCGTCCGCGCACCCCCGCCCCCCGCTTGTTGTGGGCGGGCGCATGTCTAACGACGGCGAGCGTGGAGCAGGGCAGTTTTATGCATTAGGTCCAGTCGCCGAGCACGTAGAATTTTGTGTAATTACCCCAAGCTACCCATCCTTATCGCTCGCGCGTTATTATTATATTGCTGTCGCGACTGTGCGACGGGCGGCCGCAGTGAGTGTACGAGCGTGACAGCAATATAATTACGCGCGAGCGATAAGGATGGGTGGCTTGGAGTCATTGGACGAAATTCTACGAGCTCGGCGACCGGGCTCTAGCATGAAATCATTTAAAAGCGTTTACGACGTTTGGCGCAAAAACAGTACTTTTTCAACTCGTTACAATCATTAACCAGTAATACTACAAATATGTTATAGGCATAAATAGTTAGGCAATTTCGTCGTCTAAATAGTTAATTGAGAAAATATTGCGATTAGTTTAGTATTTAAGAATTCTATCAAGATAAGTCCACACAGGTTTTGTAAATTTCCACTTTAGCGTCAGTTTACAAGCTGAAATTTTTATAAAAATACTGTGAAAACGATTTAACAAACATTTATATCCTATAGCATAGATCCTTGGGCAAATAGTTATCTGAGAAAATTTTTAGATTTAAGCATTTTACAATAAGAAATCACAAATTAAAAGAACGTGAAATACCCAAAAATCAAAGTGATTTTTTCACCAATATTCTTCCTTTATTCAACATAAAAATAGCTTAATATAATAAAACAACATCTTCTTTAAAATATTTACTTTGAAACGATATTTAATTCATTGTTATTGTTTTGCTATAAACATTTGAAAACTATTAAAAAACGCCGCGCGCGAATCATTTCCAATGATGCCCCTTGAAACGCCGCGCTTCGCGTAAACGCTCTTAATATCGCAGATTTTTTCTTACCTGTATGTCTTTAGACGTTACAGGCTCAATATAAAATCATTTTGCGATTCTTGTTATACTTAATACTTCCCATAATATAATAAAATTATTGTTTGGTAAAAAAATATTTATTTATTTGGTATTAAGCTCGTTATTATCTGGAATAGAGCTATGTATTATGCAATGTTCTTGTTTCACTAAGAACTGGTAATTCGGCTTTCGTGATAATCTTTGTAGGATGAATGGGTTGGCTAAACTTTTTGATAAGTTGACATCACGCCTTGTAAGACTTCTGCATCGTTGCAGTCAAATGTTTAGCGATATATATTAAAATTTTAATATTTAACTTGTTAATAATGTGATGTTGCTGTTGTAGAGATGGCAATGGGCATTACGAATATACAAACTTTCCAAGATTCCAAAATGGTATAATACTCTAAGAAACCTAGTCACAAAAAAGTTATGCGTACCATTTTTCCAAGCACTTCGCTTGTTAGTTAGTATGGGATAAATCTTGCAACTGAATTTAAAACCAGTTCTCCTCAACCGATTTAGCTGAAATTTGGTATACTTATGTAAATACGATGAAAATGCAATATTATGGTACTATTGAGCTGAATGGAGACTGGAGGTGGCCATAGGAAATTCTAAACGAAACGGCGGAATTGCATCTAGTTTGGGTTCGTTGGATTTGTCTTTTCGAGCACTTTACTGCTAGATGATGTCCAGGGTCCTGATGATGAAGTCAATTATAATTTTCAAACGAAGTGAAGCTTGTTTTTAAATATTTTTTTTTTATTACAACTTAAACTTTTAGTTGTTTCTCAGTCTTAGGCCCAAGTGCTCGGGAAGACAAATCCAACGAACCCAAACTCGATAAGCTTCCGCCGTTTCGTTTAGGAGTTCCTATGGCCAGCTCCTGCCACCTCTTGACTTCATCATCAAGACCCTGGACATCATCTAGCACTAAAGTGCTCGAAAAGACAAGTCCAACGAACCCAAACCAGATGCAATTCCGCCGTTTCGTTAAGAGTTCCTATGGCCACCTCCAGACTCCATCCAGCTCAATGGTACCATAATATTGCATTGTCATCGTACTTACACAAGTATACCAAATTTGAGCTCAATTGGTTAAGGAGAACTGGTTTTAAATTCAGTTGCAAGATTTATCCCATACTAACTAACAAGCGAAGTGCTTGTAACAATGGTACTCATATCTTTTTTGCGACAAGGTTTCTTAGAGTATTCTACCATTTTGGAATCTTGGATAGTTGCGTCAACTTTATAAAAACTTGCCGCATTAGTGTTCATACTTTTTTTTTACAAAATGATGAGTTAAAGTGGAGTGAAAGTAAAAATCGTTCAAAATTTTAGGGAAATAACATATTTTGATCAACTTTTGTGTAGAAACTCCAAGGATTCTGGGGGTTTTAAGAGTTGGGGTGAACAGCAGCACTACTTAAGTTGCCGATATAAACAGAAAAACAGGAATATTTGAAAAATTGTGGTCGGGGTAATGTAAAATATCATAAGGGGTGTCAATTTTCGTCGAATTTCATAATTTATTGTGTAACTTAAAAAATAATTGAGTTAGATTATTTTCCTTATTTTTCCTAAAGTAGTCATGACTATGTCCATCCTGTGGCGTCGGCTTATCCTTGAATTTTGGGACACATTGTATGTCATGTTAAAAATGATGGTTTCGGTTTCAATAAACCGTTGCTTTGGAATAATAGAGAACATGAGACTGAAATGCTTGTAAGTACGATTACTATTGCTAATATAATACTTTGATCATTCTATTCTGTTTAATATTTTAAATATTAATTATTATCGTCACTTTATTTGACACGAAACATTCTTATTTTGGTATAATAGGTAGGTACTTATTGTAAGATATCACTAGCCCAAACCAAATTAACTTAAACTTTGACACTGAGTAGGTACTTAGTGTGAAAGTTTAAGTTACCTTGATACTAATCACATGATAAACTAATTAATGTGTTACATAATTGCACTGTTGATAGTGTAAATATTAATCGTAGTAGCTTACAGAAAGGCATAACAAACCGATATCCACTTAGCAGGAAACTTCCTATGAAACCGGCAATTATTTACAATCCTTGAGTAGGTTTATATCAAAGTTTTAATAAAATATTAGTTTTCATAGCATGTCTAACTTTAGTTACGCTGAAGATGCTGGATTATTGTTTTTCTGGACAACTTTTTAAAAATAAATTAGCAACGCTATCAAACAAAAAGATGGACACTTCCCAGGTGTGTTTGAACACTTGCACTCACAGTAGTGAAGCTCCGAAATTTGTCGGTACTACAAAGAAATGTATTTCAAATGTTACTCTATAAAACGTGCGATAAGCATAAACAATGTAATCATAAAAGGTGCATGGGTCAGCGATATTGGCCTCCCTTTCTTACCCTTTTTGAGACAATGCACACCGACGCACCCGCTACACTTTAGTGCTAATATCTGCGGGCGTATTGTTTTTTCACAATGATACCTTACCATTGGGTATTTTTGCAAACATCGATTATCTTTTAACAACTTTTAAAAAATAATTCTTAAAAGTGAGCTTCAACACGAAGTTAATATTATGATTTATGATATACTCTTTGTGTGTACCTGGATGTTTGCGAATACAGGGTGGAAACGATAAGTGATCTCACTCGATCATTTCTAAACTATAAAGATATCTTAAAACTGGTTACTGATCCTGAAAATACTTCACGAGCTCTTTCAAACGGTACCAATAAAATAGGTTACAGAATAAACTGGAACTATCCGAAAATTTAATGTTGTGTAGTTCCATACTAAATGTATGCCAACTACACAATACATAATACTAGAAATGTATTTTGTTTTTGTTAAATAATAAACTTGAAAAGTGTCTTAACGAAACTTATAACTTTCATCTTTTTTTAAATTATTTGTGGAAAACATTAGTTTTAGGCTTTACTTGCTATAATATTTTATCAAGAGATTAGTGCCACGACTGTGATAGTACTAAATGTATGGAAGATGGAGACATTGAATGTTCGGATAGTTCCAGTTTATTCTTTAACCTATTATTGGTACCGTTTGAAAGAGCTCGTGAAGCACTTTCAGGATCAGTAACCAGTTTTTCGATATCTTGTATAGTTTAGAAATAATCGAGTGAGATCGCTTATCGTTTCCACCCTGTATAAAAGTAGCTATTAACTACTACTCTACCAGTTGGACCAGTTGGTTACCTAAGTATATCGATCTCAATAATTCAAAGCTAGTAGTTTCTAGTGTCGCTGGCTTAATATTTGACGAAGATATGAATTATAATGAATTATAATTTGACGTCTAAAATATTTATTCTAGTCTAGTCATCAGAGATAAATATTCATATTCATAGTAAGTCAATTAATGTCATCACTGATGAAGTTGCTACGAAGCTATGCTACGATTCTTCGTAGCGTCGTATCAGTTGCTACAGTTATAACCGTACTGTAACAGCCGAGTGTTACAGTTCACAAGGCATAAATTTTTTTCCTGTGATTGTGATCGCTTCAAAGTGACGACTCGGTCGGGCGGAACAAATATTTTCAACCTGTCGTAACCTTTCATTTAGTTAGATTTAGCCTCCGCCTTTATCCAATTTATTTGGTCTCTGTAAAGTTGTCACGGGGTACGGTAGTTTCCTCCTCGATTAACTGTGGTGTTACTTTGATGACGATTTTAATTATTTTTTACCTTACATTTATTTAAAGTTAGTCAGTTGTTTCAATTCAAATCAAAGAAAGAAAATTTCAAAATACAGCCCGAAAAATATATCGTTTTTAGTTACAAAGCATAAGCAAAAGTTCTAAATCAAGAGGTGGAAGAGTTATCTGAAATTTGAGCCAGTCTAGTTTCCCTTCAACACTTATGAATCATTCTCCTTTTACAAGAAGGCCTAGTGTTGTTGAAGCTGCTTGTATCGCGTAGCAGCAATTAGGTACGGTACTTTTTAGTACTATTAGAGGCCGGTCGATCTATTCTCATAAATAAAACACTGGATACTCATCTTTCACATTATATTGCCTTATTTTAGATACAATTCATCACTTAGCACAAAAGCGCGCGGAGTCGTCTCCGCGCGTCCCTCTATTCTGACGTTTGATTCTCGTGTGACATTGACAATACGTCAATGTCACTATGACAGCATCTCATTGGCTATAACGATACCGCTATTTTAACGTTTTATAATTTTCACAATTAACAGTACCTACTTATTTATTCCAAAATTCAAGGTTTTCTGTATCAAGTAGGTATTTATTATAAATTGTTCCTTTATTTTATGTTTTTTTTTTCAGTTTGTTGACCGCAGTTGATGAAGCAGTTTCATCTAGAGGCGAGTGAAGCCATGGACGTTAGTCTGAGCGATTTTGACGTTGTTCCCGTGGAACCGATAGCTTCCTCTGACTATGTGGATCCTCTCAGATCACCAACCTTGTGAAATTGACGTAAGTTTCTCGATTTCGATCTCATCATAGCAGTACTATTGTTTTTTATACTTGTAATTGTTCTGACAAATGCATTTTTGTGTTTAGATCCCCGGCGTTCTTCCATCAGCAGAGAAGATGGAGGAGTGGAACCAACTTTCTGCAAACAATCTTGTAAGTTCATTTTTTTTCTACAAAACGCACTGTAAATAATATTGTCATCAATTTGATAAGTGTTCTAACAATGCAATTTATTTCTACTCTCAGATCACCGACACAGAAATGGTATACGAGTATCAACATGATTCCGGCGTAGATTCTCCCCTAGAAGTAAGTAATTATTTAAAAAAAAGTATTTTTTTTTCTAAATTGTGATTGTATTTTCTAATCCTATTTATAATATCCACAGAATCTCCTTGACCTGCTTCCTGTGTACCCGGAAGAGGACGCGCTCTTGGAGACCATAGCGGCCATGGACATACCAGATCCGCTGGACATTGTAAGTATCTATTTGGGACTTCGCTGAAGCATTAAGTTTATAATGTAGTTTTTATAAAACTGACACGGTTTTGTTGATAATATTCTTCTAACATTTATTTTCTTTGCCCACAGGACTTGAATCCTTCAGATTTCCTTCTGCTTACCTACCAGCGACCCACCAGCTTCCCGTCGAAGCTCGAAGTAAGTTTTATTACAGAAAAGTCATCATCAGATTGAATTGTGATTGTATTTTCTAACTCTTTTCATAATATCTTCAGTATCTCCTTGGCCTGCCTCTATTTGAGGACCTAGAAGAAGGCGCGTTCTTCGAGAACTTAGCAGCCATGGAGATACTAGATCCACTGGATATTGTAACTCACATGACAGCTGTGAGCCGGAATCGGTAAGGACTTGTTTTCATGGCAAAATTAGATTCAATTTTTATATTGTTTCATTTAACTTCTAGATCGTAGTTAAAATTTATTTGTTCTTGTTTCAGTTGAGGACAGTTTCAATCAAATTCATTCCGAGGAGCATCGGCCTCGCGAGATTTAGGTTAATTTGCATGTTAGTATTAAGTATTAGATAGTTGTTTGTAATTAGATCTAAGTTGCCATTTTGATGTTAAGTTTAGTGTAGTTAATTGATTTGTAATATATCATTGAACATATATTTTATGACATGCTTTTGTCTGTAATACATTTCTCATTTTTATTATTAATGTATGCTTTACTGCATGTTGTCAATTTTTAGAACAAACATTTTTAACAGAAATCGTAGTTTTGGAAACTTGGAATAAGTAAATAGATAGGTACTAGCAAAAGTACCGCGATTGCTGCTACGCGATACAAACAGCTTCAACAACTAAACTAGGTCTTTAAACTTCAAACTAGGCCTACTTGTAGATGGCAAAAAATTTATAATATGTGTTGAATGAAGGGAAACTAGAGTGGCTCAAATTGACTCTTATATTAGACTAATATTTCCTCTCGACACCCAGTTCCTGATTAAAGAGAGATAACTCTTTCACCTCTTGATATAAAACGTTTGCTTGCCTACGCTCTGTAACCAAAAACGACATATTTTCGGCACTGTATTTCAAAATTTTCTTATTTATTTGAATTGAAACAATAGATTGGCTTTATTCTTCTTCGAACGAAGTTATTCCTGATAATTAAAATAAATGTACTTGAGGAAAAAATAAATTAAAATAGACATCAAAGTTACACCAGAGGGAAGCCAGGAGGAAACTACTGTACGCCGTGACAACACTTTACGGGGCCAAATAAAGTTTCGGATAAAGGTGGAGGCTTACTACAGGTTGAAAATATTTGTTTTGCCCGACCAATCATCACTTACGTTTGAATATTTTTGTTTCTCTGATGACTATGTAATGTAGGCACTCATATTTTTGTTTCTCTATGACAAGGTATGTACTTCACACATAGCAAGGAAGCTCACACGGGTGGCAGCGTAAAGCACGTTTACCTGGAATTGACCTTTGTAGTAGGTACGCATTGTTCTTGTTTTATAAAGAACTGGTAATTCGGCTTTTGTGATAATATTTGTAGGACGAATGGGTTCGCTTAGTTTGTTGATAAGCAGTTAATAGAGATAATGAGTATGATGACATCAGGGCTCATTAGAGCTTCTAGAACGTTATCGAAAACTATTTAGCAAAATATTAAATCTTATTTTCTTTGCCAATGTGATGTATATCGATAAGAGGGCATTATGCGTACCTAAATAAGAATATTAACACCGATGTTCACCATTAGTTTTTGGTTTGCGGGATACGGTGATTTTGACAATTATATTCTGGGTTCATGTAGAGTTTGTGAGTTTTTAACAGTTATAGTTTTTTTTCCAATAAATTGTTGCTGCTTACTAAATAAACAGTTTGTTTGACAGAGCAATGTGCCTTTTTTCATTTATAAAATGAATGATTATGGAAATGCTTGTAGTATATTGCATCAATACTTGGTACACTTGGTGACATATGCACGATTTCGTTATTTAATGATCATTGATTGTAACTTAGATTGTTACCTAACATTCGTAATTTATGAATGAGTTAAAATTTAACTAAACTAATATTAGTCAATAAATTAACTGGGTTAGGCTAATGGTGTCATAGAATAAGTACCTACTTAGTAATAGAAAGTTCACCTCTCAATACTGATGAGAATCATATTAAACTAATTACCTAATTACTTACTTTCGTATTAAATGGCTTACTAGCTTTTGCCCGCGGCTTCCCCCGCGTTAATTTCTGTCACATAACTCACATATCACGGATAATATAGAATTCTAATGGTGAAAGATTTGTTCATATTATCGGTCTTATAGTTTCGGAGCCCATTTAATGTCCATGCCCATGTTTGTAACAAACAATCTAATCTTTCCTCTTTATAAAAATTAGAGTAGACTAAAAATCCGATTAACAATAGCAGTTCCTCACTTGATAAAGATAGTAGTCTTGTTTTTGTTTATAAAATAAAATATACTGATTCAGCTATACCTACTTAAACGTATCAATGAAAATAACATTTTGGACTTTCGCCACTGTGAGTGCAAGTTCACAGTGGCGAAAGTCCAAAATCTGTCGGTACTTCAAAGTTAGTAAAGTGTTTCATAGTGAAAACCGGTCAAATGCGAGTCGGACTCGAGCACCGAGGGTTCTGTACAAACTTGTAGGTCCGTAAATAGTTTGTTTCTGAAATCAAGGTTTTCAAGTAAAAAAAAACATGTTGTAACATCTAAATAAAAGGCCCCCTTTTTATCCTTTGGGTACTGAACCCAAAAAAACGTGCGATAAGCTTAAACAATGTAAAAAATGTGATGTTGGTCTGCCTTTCTAATCCTTTTGGATACAATGCACACCACCACACCCGCTACACTTAAGTGCCAATATTACCTGCGGGTGCATTGTTTCTTAACAATGATACCTTGCCTTCTAATGATCTTTTTTAAATAATTCTTAAAACTCGGCTACAAATTGAAGCTAATATTATAATTTATGGTTGTCCATTTTGTGTTTGCCCGTATGTTTGCAAACAGAAAAAGTAATAAGTTCAAAGCTACTTCTAGTGTCGCTGTCCATTTTATAAAATTATAAATCAGGTTTTATTTGTGATTAAATGAACAAGTATCCAAATAAGTACTTCAACTCCTTCGCGCTGTTCATGAACGCAACGGCCTCGTGGAAAACCTTTTTGGTTTTCGTTAGGAAAAAGAATGAAAAGAAAATCGGACCTTCTCATGAGACAAAGAAAAGTGACGTCCAAAATTTTTTTAGGTGCCTCGTATTGTGAGGTATTAATATACATAGATTAGGAGTGTTACGATTTTTCATAGTGTGCGAGTTTCGTTCTTTTTTCATGAATTTTTGCAAAATTGCGGCCGGATCGGATACTTCGATTTTTTTGCTGCTTAATCTCTATGAACATTCTCTACAAACCTAATTTATTCATGAAATGAACGGACAAAAATTAAGTTGAGAATGTATGTTATTTATGAGTTAGAGACCTCACGTCTTGAGAAAGAGGTTCTTCCTCGATTGGCAAGACCAGCTCCTTCACGTCCAACTCCGCTTTCAGGATATTCACTAGAATCTATAATAAAATCAATAAGTCAGGTTTGTAACTATCAATTACTATCAAATCATTGATAAAATGAGTAAGTTACTCACACTCAGCCTGAAGACTGGCGTTATGGAACGCAGCAGATCTATTACTCGTTCGGGAACGAGTAATAGATCTTCAGGAGAAACGGGTTTCTCCTGAAGCTTCTTGGAGTTGTTAATGAAGGTGACGGCCTCGTCGAACACCTTTTTAGTTTTCGTCTGGAAAAAGAACGAAATGGTAATGAGACCTACTCATGACACAATATTAGTATGTTATCCCTGATTGAGACTTAGTTTATAATTTTATTATGTTTATATGAAACGTATCTTACTCTAGGGCGTGGGACCTACAGGTTCCTAGCTGGCATCGTATCCTCGTCACCAGGCAGATTTTGGTACATGTGATAGATAGCCGCTCGGGCGGACAAAAATAAGAAATACCTTCGGTTGAAATAAAGGTATTCTTTACGATCCAAATGTTTTATTGTAGCAATTAAATTTTGTACTCGACAGGCAATGAGGTTTTACCACTGAAAGTTCCTCAGAGAGAATGAACTCAGGGCGTGCAAAACGATCTTCCAGTGCCGGTAAAAGTTCTTCAGCATCAGTAGATGTTAAAGCTAATGCTAAGACAGAAAGAGCAGCCTCCTCTCAAGGCTGATCTGATTCGTGCTAAGTTTTCTATTGATGTAAATGATCTTAAGGTCTGCATATAGCTGTGCCTGAATGGGAACCAATCGGTAGCCTTACCACTGAACATTGACAAGTCACAAACCCTGGGCTTATGACCAAGTGAAATGATCGCTCGTGCAAACTCTTGCACGTCGCTGTTGTGGTTGTTCTCCGCACGATGTAGACTTTGATGGTCGTGCGGGCGGGGGAGAGGTGCTGGCTGTGGAATGACAAGAAGATGGGTATGTGGGATTGGAGGTCAAGTGGAAGGTGGGACAAACTCCGGCAAGCTGTGAACCCAAGATTGCACTGAATTAGCGTGAGAATAATTTGAAGGCATTCAGAGGATGTTGACCCCATAATACACTATCATGTGTAGATCCAGGAAAACTAGAATCTTATTTAAAGATTCACACACCTGAAAAAGAAAGTTTTATGCTATATATTACCACACACTTGTATTACTTTATTTACTCACAATTAGAACATTAAGAGAGTGTCCTTTTCTGTTCACATATCTTTCTTCGTGAATGTTGGGGCAAACGATTGCCACATGGGTCCCATCAACACAAGCAGAGTAAATACAAATACTCTGACACAAGCTAGCAGTCCGGACATTTCGTGACGTCTGTAAAACTTAAAAATAATGAAGATTTATCATCATTACTATTATTGTTCTAAAAATGAAACCCTCATAATAATATGCTTATAATTTATTTATTTATTTAATAGGACAACCAACAAGACATACACTGGAAGACAATCAATATTTACAACGTATTTAACTTAATCTAATCTTAATAAAAATTGGGTATGATATTTTTAAATTTATAATCAAGTAGTTTTAGTGCTTTTACTAACCTAAATAATATAACTTACTCTCTGATAACATGTTCCGTTTCATTTTGATGGAATGGGAAGGACACATTTATTTAAAATACATGGCTTATTCAAAGCTGTTATAACCTGCTGGAGTGCTTTGAAGACACTTGCTTGACTGACATAATGTCTCGGGCTGTCTCCAACCATAAGACCCAGATGCCATGAATCCCAGTGCAATCAACACCTAAAACACAAAATTATTTAACTGGCCTACTTTAGGGTGCAGGTAGAGGCTTATAGAAAGCTTACTAGTGCTTAGGTACCTAGTTAAATGACAAATTATTATATACGTGGTTTCTTACCTTAGTTTCCACACTGAGAGCA